AATGTGAGCATTGATGGGCATTTCCTTGCTGGGATAACCTCAGTCACACCCCTCTGGCCTGCTAGTCCCTGGACAGGACACCCCTGCCTTTCCCTGTCCATTTCAGCTGGCCTCCTTTAGGTCAGCAGTGTCTTCAAAAAGAAATTCCCTTAGTTTTGACGGTGAGTGAATTACCTTCCCTTTGCCTCAACAGCACCTTTCCTATGAGGAAGGGTGTGACTGGCTTCCAAGGGGTGGGCACCAACGGACCTTCTAGCTCCGGTCTCTGCCTTCTCATTTGGCACACCTGAGGGTTGCATGGAGGCCATCATCTCCTGAGAGCCCGATGCCAGGAAGAAGGTGCTTAGTCCCTGGAGAGCAGAGATATGATGAGAACAAAGATCTTGACTTTAGCACGGCTCAGTGGTTGAGTGTCAACCTATGAACCAGGAGGTCACGGTTCGATTCCTGGCCAAGGGTTGTGGGCTCAATCCCTAGTGTGGGGCATGCAGGAGGCAGCCAATCAATGATTCCCTCTTATCATTGATGTTTCTATCTCTCTCCCTTTCCCTTCTTCTTTGAAATCAATAAAAATATATATTTTTAAAGATCTTGATTTTGTAAAACATCCCCCTTTCAATAAAATTTCACCTAAAGTTAATAGGGAAAATAAACCCGTTGTTGAAGAGTGACTTTAAAATGTCTTTACAAACATACATTTTCTGTTGTTAAAATGCAAAGGCAGTCCTGCAGTTGGCCAAATACTGAATTCACAGATCATCAAAATGGTGATTAAATGTTTTTATGCAAGTACTGTACCTGCTATTCCGCCAACATGTGTAATACATAATCCCATTCTAAATCACGGTAAGATTGATCATCAAGTAAACAGGCAAATGTTCTGTATTTTGGAGTCAGCCTATCTCCATGTGTGAGGGTTTGGTTGAAATGGGAATCCTGAGTTATATAAAGAAAAGAAATTAGTGCTTTACTGTCAACGTAGTCATCAACATTTGTCTGTCTCCTCTCTTCTTATTTTTGGATGTTTTGATGGTATTTGAGGTTTTGGAGAATGTGAGGCCAGGCTGAAATGGTTAGCTGTGCTCACACAACATTCGCCCTGATCCTGCGTCCACCTCTTTCTCTTCCTCTGCACCCAAAGGCCTAGAACTATTTTAAGAATTTGCCAACACATATTTCTATCGACTCACCACTTCTGTACTCATGTACACACACCTTCAGAAGTCCTTATTCACAACCCTGACCCTCAACACACTCCCGTACAACTATGCCCTCACACACAAACCTGGCCTCAAACATACACACTGACCCCCCGTCCCTCCCCACACACACACACTCACAGAAACATGAGGAAAGAAAATGCCAAACAGAGTAAACGTTCCAGATGACTGAATTTGACGCTGTAAGATGCCAAGACATTGTTCTCATTTTTAAGCATTTATTATGGAAACCTTTCTAAAATATACTGTATAATTTCCTGTTTTCTTAAGCTGCCTTAAATATATTCAAGGAACTTTGAACTAGGCCCTCTCTGTCAGTGAGGGCACATTAGCATGTGAGGCTGGAGAAGACCACAGTGAGGTTTCGCCTCACAATTGTCAGAATGGCTGCAAGAAATCAACAAATAGCAAGTGTTGATGGGATTGTAAATTGGTGCAGCCACTATGGAAAACAGTTTGTAGATTCCTCAAAAAATTAAAACTAGAATATGACCTAGCAATTCCACTTCTGGGTATTTATCTGAAGAAACTCAAAATACTAATTTGGAATGATATATGTACCCCTATATTCACTGCAACATATTTACAATAGTCAAGATATGGAAGAAATCTAATTAGTGGACAATTGGATAAAGAAGATATGGTACAATATGCAATGGAATATTACTCGGCCGTAGAAAAATAAAAAGCATGAAATCTTGCCATTTGTGACAGCATAGATGAACCTAGAGGGTATTATGCTAAGTGAAATAAGTCAGACAAATACTATATGATCTCACTTATATGTGGATTCTAAAAACAAAACAAACAAACTCATAGATGTAGAGAACATTTTGGTGGTTGTTAGATAAGAGGGGGGTTAGAAGGATAAATGAAAAAAATGAGAAGATTAAGAAACACAAATTACCAGTTATAAAAGTCACTGGAATGTAAAGTACAACATAGGGAATCTATACTAATAAAAGCTAAGGTGCCCTCACATCATCACAAGATGGCCGCCCCCACATTGTCACAAGATGGCCACCACCAGATGGCCAGCAGGGAAGGTAAGTTGTGGGCAATCAGGCCAGCAGGGGAGGGCAGTTGGGGGCAATCAGGTCATCATGGGAGGGCAGTTAGGAGGGACCAGGCCTGCAAGGGAGGGCATTTGGGGTGGGGTGATCAAGCTTACAGAGGAGGGCAGTTGGCAAACAGGCTGGCAGGGGGAGAAGTTAGGCATTAATCAGGCTGGCAGAGGAGTGGCTAAGGGGTGATCAGGCTGGCTGGCAGAAACTGTTATGAGCAATCAGGAAGGCAGGCAGGCGAGCAGTTGGGAGCCAGCTGTCCTGGGTTGTGAGAGGGATGTCTGAGATTGGAGAGGGTGCAGACTGGGCTGAGGGACACCCCGCTCTCCTCCCCCCCCCCCACCTCATGCATGAATTTTGTGCACTGGGCCTCTAGTATTGTAATAATTATGTATGCTATGAGATGGTTGCTAGACTTATTGGGTGAACATTTCATAACTAATATAAATGTCTAACCACTATTATACACCTAAAACTAATAAAATATTACAGGTCAGCTGTAATTGAAATTTCTTATTTTTAAAAAAAGAAGCTGAAGTTGTTTTACTTTGTCCTACCCAAGGCTTCCTCAACTTACCTGACCTGGGAAATGGCCTCTTGGCCAGCAGACAACTTCCGTTGAGCTGCTCTTGCCAGAACCAGGCTCTGAGTGAGGCCAGCTGCACAGGGCGTTGGAACTAGGAGAGGGGCACCCCTTCCTCCCCACTCTTCCCCCTGCCTGGGCCATGTGTGGGGGCCCAACCCAGTCCCAATGGGAATCAAAGGACAGAGAAGCAGCCAGGGAGGCGGGGCTGCTCTGTGAGTGCCCAGGGCTGTCTCTAGGATCTCAACAAACATCGATTTCTCTCCTTCAATGCTGGACAGTTTTGAGAAGATAAACTAGTTGGAGGCCAGGAGACCCACCATCAGGAAGCTGCTGCACATAAGAGATCAGGGCCTGCCCAGTGGGTCTGGAAGATGAATGGGCCTGGATTTGGGCATCTGAGCAGCGGAAGGACAGCTCTCTCCCTGGGAGAGTCCAAAGTTTGCATTTGAGTTCCTCCAACATGGGTCATTAGAGACATGTCCCCTGGGATTTCATTCCACTTCCTTCCCAGCAGTCTCTTGTGTTACAGTTAGCATTTGCTTCAAATATCTGTAAGGGATTGCACAGCCCCTGGAGAGTGGTTCCTGCCACTTATTCTTATGGACTCGAGGCTTGCTTCTGAACCGGGAGTGATTTGAGTTTTTTGGAAATCAGACCACATTGGCCTTTTTTGGACAAAATCAGCATTAGGATAATTCCTGTTGACGGAGGAGAGCCGCGCATGTGGAGGAAACGAAGCAGACTGGCATGGCAAGGCTTGTGAGGGGTGTGGGAGCTCCGGAGGGCATCACCCCGTAACACAGAGCTGGGAGCTGAGCTCCCTGAGGTGTGCCTTGCACCACATGGTTTCTACTAGGCAGAGGCTGAACTGACTGCAGCCCTTACCAGCCAGTCTCTGGCCTGGTTCCTTGGATAGCACAGGCAGCTTCCCTCTGAGCCCACCCACTTCAGGCCCAGAGGATTTGGGATTTTCTTTTCCATTAGGAAATTACCAATTAATTTGATTAGCTGGTCAGAGGAGTCTCAGATGTAACCATTGTCCCTTTAAAAATCCACTTGGCAGTTTTAACCTCTTGGGCTTTTAACTGTTATTTGTAGCCTTGCATTTATTTCCTAAACAAATAAACCTTGTGGCATTTCCTCAGGAAATGTTACATCTAAAAATAGCATTAAACTTAAAAAAAAAAAAAAAAAAAAAAAAAAAAAAAAAAAAAACCTAAACTAAAAGCATTCTATCTTTACATAAAAGCATGTGGTACCAAAATGTAAAGGGGAATCCGGTACCAGTGATACAGTTTTCAGAATGACTGAAAGGGCACACTTCCGTGTGCCCTTTCCGAAGGATGCCCTAATGGTTTCTATTCAAAATTTTAAAACATCGCCAAAACCGGTTTGGCTCAGTGATAGAGCATCGGTCTGCGGACTGAAAGATCCCAGGTTCGATTCTGGTCAAGGGCATGTACATTGGTTGTGGGCACATCCCTGGCAGGGGGTGTGCAGGAGGCAGCTGGTCTATGTTTCTCTCTCATCGACGTTTCTAGCTCTCTATCTCTCTCCCTTCCTCTCTGTAAAAAAATCAATAAAATATATTTTAAATTTTTTTTAAAACACCATCAATACAATTTAAATGTATTTGCTGTGGATGCCCTTATTTCTAAGCATACAATGGTATATGGACCAACTCTGCTCTCCCCACAGGCCTCTCCATTCCAGGTGCAGACCCAGGTGTGCCAGGCAGGGAGGGATGGGGGGGACCTCAGGAGGGGAAGACCCCCCCTGAGAAATTCACATGCTCCTCGGAAGATCCTAAGATGTAGCATTTAATGTGCATATTTTGGAATTTGATGGGCTGGAACTTATCCCAAATTTAAACTTGATTGAGTGTTATTTAGGGCCACCCTCTGAGGCAAAGGTCTCCCGTCTACCTAATGCAGCTGTGGGCACTTCCTTGGTCCTGCTGCTGAGTGACAGTGCAAAGGACAAGCGAGTGGTTCCCAACAGAAACTCTCGCTGTGCTGAGGACTCACCTAGTTCACAAATATAACTCAGGGACCCTAGTGCCAGCCTGTGAAAGTGACCACGTACTCTTTCTTGGTATCTTACCTTTCTGGATCCTCTCTTTTGTTTCAGGATCTGGAATCCCTCGACACCTACATCCAGAACACACTCTCTGACCTCTACCCACCGTTTGAGGCCACGGCGGCCACGGTGCTCTGGCAGGTGTTCAGCGTGGCTGAGAGGCTCCACGGAGGTGATGGGCTGCGCTGCCTCACTGACTTCCTCATCCCTGCCACGAGGGCCCTGCAGCACCTGCAGCAGGAAGCCTGTGTGAGTACCGCCCTCAGGAGACAGGGCCTGTGGGAGACCCTCCCCTCAGGGGACAGAGCCTGTGTGAGACCCTTCCCTCAGGGGACAGAGCCTGAGTGAGACCCCCCCCTCAGGGGACAGAGCCTGTGTGAGACCCTCCCCTCAGGGGACAGAGCCTGTGTGAGGACCTGCCTTCTGGTGTGAGGTCTTCCCTGCAGAAGGAATCCTGTGTGAAGACCTCTCCTGCAGGGAACACCTTAACTGTTTTTAACTTGGAGAAGATTTAATTCTCCAAGTTAAAGAACAGTTAAGGTACCTAGAAAATATTTAAGCTGAGGAAGTGGAATTTCAAAGCCAGGGAAGCATGCCATTGATGGAGGGAAACATGCTCTCTCCCTCACCCCCATCAATGGCATGTTGATTTAAGCCAGAAATTAAAACCAACATAATTCAAGTGAGCATTTGTTGTTTTATTTCCAAAAGAACGCTGTGAAATCATGAAAAAACAACACTGTATTGTAACTTCAGCCATGTTTTTACAGAGTTTAAACACATACATGGAGAGATCTTCCCATTCCCCTCTATTTGATGGGTCCATGTGGTACTGCTCACCTCCTTCTTTCATCTCTGGCTCCTCCTTTTCCTTGTCCCGAATGATGGGTGAAATAAGACTGTATCCCAGGAGCCAGGCTTCTGCAGACATCCACTCTGGCCCCCCAAAATGAACTTTCACTTGAGCATAGGAAGTTAGTCACTCTCTGGAGTAATCATCTCAGAGCCAACTATTGGAGCAGTTCCAATACATACAAATAAACTCTGTTTAATTAATGTCTTATATGTTTAGTTTATTTCTTTGGATATTTTTATCATAGATATATTTTTGAGGCAGTGCTAAAGTTAATGACAGCCAAGTTGTGGGTATATTGCAGTGAGCTACTGGAAAGATTATGGCTGAATCTTTAAAAAAATATATCTTTATCAGTACCTTTTATTACTCCGTTGATATTGAATTACAGCTTTAAAAAAAATACCATTGAGCTACTTTGATTTATTAAATTCTTTGAATACCTTCTAGCTGGAATGAGTATGGTAGAGAAATAACCAAGGATACCCTAGGTTTGATTCTTTATTTGAGGTAGTCTACCCAGAGGATATTTTCCTTGGTGATTATATACCTTTTGCACATTGACATGTGGCAGCAGTAGAGCATGGTGCCTCTCAGGAGCGGTGAACAGTAGCACCAAGAACCAATCTGCTGTAAGTCAGATCTGAAAATACCTGTCCCCTTTTTAAGGAGTGTCTTGACTTGAAAAGTTACTCTGACCTCATGTTTTGCCTTTATTCTTGTTTGTGTTTTCTTTCATTTTAACCATGCCATCCCTTCTCACTTACAAAATTGCCTATTTTATGAAAAAAAAAGTCATGTGAATATTACTCTTTAATATAAATGAATATTTGTAAGTGTTTAATAAGCATAAAATGAAATTTAGAGACAACCTTACTATTTGCATATTTCTGTTGCTATTGCTTTTTACTTAAAAATTTTTTCTTACTGATTTCAGAGAGGAGGGGAGAGAGAATCATTAAATAGCTGCCTATTGAATGCTCCATACTGGAGATCAAGCACACAACCCGGGCATGTGTCCTGACTGGGAATCAAGCTATGACCTCCTGGTTTATAGGTTGATGTTCCACTACTGAGCTCCCTGGCCAGGAGCTTTTTACTTTTTAATAAAGAACATAAAATTTGATCTTTATGACATAGGAGAAAGTGAATGTATCCTAACCACTATAAATATATTTTAGTTAATATAAATTCAATGCAGTTTTTATTCATTTACTCACTATTGTCAGATTATGTGCCTTGGGAATAATTTTTAATCATATTAACTTTAAGATAAGTTGTTTTAAACTAATATTTCAATGACCACCGTTCTTCTCTAGATAGAAGAAATGCTTAAAATCTCTCATTGGCTTATGTATAATTTTGTTTCACCATAGTTTGGATCAGAGAATGTCTGGAGAAATTTAAAGAAAAGAAATTGGAAAGATATAAATGTAGGATGTTTCTACTAAGAGGGGAAAGCAGTAGGAGGGGGTGAAATAAAGAAAAGGTAGAAATCAAAAAGGAGGGAGTAAGCAAAATAAAGATATGGGAAATAAAAGGCACAACTTACATAACAAGTTGAAAGTAAAGTTATTAAAAATGGTAGACCAGAAAATTCTAACCAAACAATAACTCGTATAGCAATATTCATAACTACATATAGTGAAAGGCAAATGCATTGTTAGGGCTAAAGAGATTCATTCAGAATTAGTACTAGTCACAACCAGGAATACATAAAAATCTGTAAACACTTGACAACATAGAATGAAAATGTTTGAAGCATAAATTGAGCGAATTACAATTTCATAATTCATAATGAAACGTCATAATGGGATAGTTCACCTCTCTCTAGAGCAAATAGGATAAGAAAACTATACATAAGTTATACACTTGAACATGTATCTCTCTTCTACGAATGGGTACACATAGAGTGCTGAACCCAATAATTTTTGTAAAATATATTTTTATTGATTTTCTTTTTTAGAGAGAGAGGAAAGCAGAGGGAGAGAGATAGAAACATCAATGAGAGAGAAACACCAGTTGGTTGCCTCCTGCATGCCCTCTACTGAGGATTGAGCCCACAACTGGGCAGGTGCCCTGACCAGGAATAGAACGGGTAACCTCTTGTTGTCTGGGTTGATGTTTAACTACTGAGCCACACCGGCCAGGCCTGAACCCAATAATTTTAGAGTAAACATTCTTCCCAAGGCAACCTATAGATTCAGGAAGCTCATCAAATGAAGAACAGGATAAAAAAAATGGATTCATTGTAAATTAAACTGCTTAAAACCAATCATAAGGCGAGAAAATCTTAAAACGTGACAGAGAAAAGGGGCAAATTACATATATCCAGCCAGCAGCAATAAGAATGAAGAGTGACTTTTTATCAGAAGCATTGGATCTCAATAGACAATGGGAAAACATCTTCAAATGTTGAAACAAGTAAAAGTAAACCTAAGTTTTTATATCTAGTGAAAATATAAATAAAATAAAGTGCCATTATTTTATTTTCAAACATGAAAATAAAATAATGGCACTTTCAGATGAATAAAAGTGTACTAGCAGAGGTGCAATGCAAGAAATGTTGAAGGGGTCTTCAGGCTGAAGGGAATTGATACCAAGTAGAAGCTCAGATCTACAGTAAGAAATGAGCACAAACAAGACTAATATATGAGTAAGTGCAAATTTATCTTAAAAATTATTGACTGCTTAGAGCAATGTATTGTGAGATCTATAATGTAGAAATAAAATAGATGACAACAAAAGCACAAAGTTTGGGAGTATATACAGACTGTGTTACTCCATTTGTGTAAGCTTCAGATGCATGCATAACAAGTGTTTATTGTCTAGGGAGTCAACATGTGGTAAACACAAAGAAAAGGAGGGGATTAGTCGTGAAATTTGGGGAAGTGCCTGCCTCTGAGCGGTCACCAGCACACAGGAGACATCAAAGATGATGGCGACATTCTTTTCCTTAAACTGCTGTCTTGTGATATTTTATATCTTCTGTAATGTAAGCATGCTTTTGTGTCTCTTCATGTTTAATTTAAAAACTTTTAAACAATGTCTTACTGCTAAAAACAAATAACTTTCTCACAAAGATGCCTGCCTCTCCCACAAGGCCTAGGAGACGTAGCTCACACAGGACGGGTCTGTGGGTCACCCTCCTTTCTGACAGGGGCTTGGGAGCCCTGTGCGCTGTGAGAGGTTCTCACTGGACTGGAGACTGATGGGAGACCTTGTGGCTGGAGCAGGCGTGACTGGCTCCTCCGCCTGGCCTGGCAGCCCAGCTCCTGTGGAGCCAGTTTCCTCCACCTCCACCTTGGAACTTTCTGCCTATGGCCTGTTGGGTGGTGGGAGCAAACCCAAGATGTGGACAGTTGAGTTGAATTCATACCAGGAGGAGAATCGGCAGGACTGGGGCGTGAGGGTTGCTTGGTCATGGGCCACCAAGGACAGTCTACCTCGACCCTGCTCAGCCCCTCCAGAAAGGAGTCACCTCGGTTGGCCTTGGACCCTCTGATTCTGGAACTTTCTGTCATGAAGATCATTCCTGGGGCCCAAAACACTGACCTCAGCTGCACACCATTAGGCCACACCTCAGGCTGAATTTCTCTCTCTGATGGCCACTGGGTTCTTCACTGCCAGGCTGGAGATCTCTCCATTGCTGACTGAAGGGCCAGGCAGTGTCCTGTGTCTTCATGTCCAGCGTGGGGAGGTCACTGGTCACTCAGCAAGGCGCAGGCCCACATCTGCGGCCACCCACACTAGTGGTCGCTGGCTCGCCCCAGGGGCCTGCGGGTAACCATACTCTCTGACCTGCTCTGAGGCCTCAGATCCCACAGGAGCATCTGAAATCTGGGCTGGGCTCCAAGCCCAGAGATGTTTGGTATTTTTATCTGTCAGAGCAAAGTTCGGGGGAGCCGGGACCCAGCAGGGCAGTGATCCGTGTGAAGAATTTCTAGCAGCTCAGGAAATGCTGAGGAAATCATGTTACATGTGAAACCAAGGTGCACAGCGGTACTTGTGATGTCTTCTCAATCATTAAAAATGCACAGAAAAAGTAACGCAGTGACACACATAAATGTCCACAATGCTGACCTGGGGGTTGGTCTTGGGATTCTTTTATTCTTTTCTTTTTTTCCCCTGGATTCTTCAGTTTGCAATGCACAGTATTTTTTTTTTTTTTTTTTTTTTTTGTCAATCTGAAAATCTTGTTAATTCAATGTGGCCACAGGTGTGAGGGTGATTGGCAGGTGCCCGGTAAAGACCAGCGTCACCTGCACCAGAAGCATAAATTGAGCGAATTTCCCTCCCTTTCTTGCCCCAGGCCAGGTACACAGGGCTTGTGTTCTTCCAGGCCGTGCCCTCCGCTCCTCGTCCAGACCGCCCGCTCCTCCTTTCTGTGTAACGTGCACACACACAGAGAGCCCACAAGTCAGCAGGCACATAACTCATGAGACCTTCACGCTTAAGAGCACACTGGTACGTTTGAGATACAATTTTCAAAGTCAACTCTAGATATATGAAATATTAAATATCTTTTAAACCCGAACCCTTAGAAAAACTAAAGAAAATAAATGTGAAAGGCAGATTTTGGTAAGATACTTAGTTTTAAATTTTAAGGCAATAGAAGATATCACCACAAAACTCAAGAAGTGAAACTTGCATAGACTTTAAGCTTCTATAGAGAGGAAAAGAACTTTATACTATGAAGCAAATGAATTGGGATGAATATGTTCAACAGTAGATAGATTACAGAAACATTTTCTAATGGTGAGTGTAGAAAATTGTTAAAATTTTTAAACAAGACAATTGGAGCAAAAATACATATAGGATATTGACAGGAAACAAACATCAAAAAAGGGTTGACTTCACTGTCACATATATGTGAATTAAAACAACAGTATTCCACAGTATATACACCAATTTAGAGAATGATTTCTTTCTTTAAAAAAAAATTTTGTTGTTGATTTTAAAGAAGAAGGGAGAGAGAAATAGATAGAAACATCAATGATGAGAGAGAATCATTGATAGGTTGCCTCCTGCATGCCTGTCACTTGGGTTTGAACCTGCAACCTGGACATGTGCCCTGACCAGGAATCAAAACGTGACTTCTGGTTCATAGATCAGTGCTCAACCGCTGAGCCATACCTGCCAGGCTAGAGAATGATCTCTAATTGCAGAGCCTCATGCTGATGGCAAACCTGTTACAGTGCCTCTGCTAACAGTGTGTCTCCTTTGAGGGCAAATTGGCCAAAGTGGGAAGAGTCATACAAGATGTTCATAACCTTTGCTCCTATAATCCTAATCCCAGAAATGCATCCTAAAACAATCATTTAAAGGAAAAAGACACTGTATCATGACATTGTTCTTTGCATTTATTGTTTAAATAGAAAAAGAAGCATTGTAGATTTATGAAAACAGGAACAGTTAAGTAGTCGTCAAGATGGTAACTGAGAGTGACACAGAAATGTTTGCTACGGTGACTGCAGATAAGAATATCAAATTACACCTACAATATTGCTATGGTTTAGGAAAGTTATTTCCTATATAGATATGGGTAAAGAAACGATTAACATCTTTTGGGATCTATGGGGTTGAGATTTTTTTTTCTTTTCTTTTTTTTATATTTTATTGATTTTTTACAGAGAGGAAGGGAGAGATAGAGAGAGAGTTAGAAACATCGATGAGAGAGAAACATCGACCAGCTGCCTCCTGCACACCTCCTACTGGGGATCTGCCTGCAACCAAGGTACATACTCTTGACCGGAATCGAACCCGGGACCTTTTAGTCCACAGGCTGATGCTCTATCCACTGAGCTAAACTGGTTTTGGCTCTTTTCTCTATTGTAATAACAACGTGTGTGTGGTAAGGCAGTGCTGGGATGGGGAAAAGTAAGTTGCAAAGCACAATACTTTGGAACTAAACTCATCCTGTGGAATGTGGTTTCACGTTAGAAAGTGTACCTGCAGCTTCTGACAGGTCAGGGCCACACCCCTTGTTCCCTAACTGCTGGACACTCCCGTATTTGTGTCCAGCAGTTAGGGAATTTGCAGCTCGTGTTTGACTGTGTCTCGTCCATCTGGAAGTTGAAACCTTTTCTAGATCAAGTTCTTTTCAAGAGTGCTTAAGAACTCTCCGATAGCTTGCTATAGACTTCATTGACTCCTTAATAAGTAGGAACCCCCATTCTATTATGTGGGAGTTTGTAGCCAATATTGGTGTCCTGCTCAGGTCCCACATTTTCTCACTGTGTCTCACACCCTGTGATTCTAGAGGCCATGCTCTTTTTTTTTTTTTTTTTTTTTGGTGGTGGTGGTGGTGGGGTGTTTAGGGAGTGAGGGTGTGTAAATCCAAGTGGGTGTGTAAAGCCACCCCGAAGAGTCACTTCCTGCAGGGTCCCCAGGGTTTGGCTATGTGAGACTGTGCTTGGGGTGGCTTCCTTCCTCCTGTCCTGTTGCCTCCCTCCCCCAGCCTCCCAGAAGGAGCTGTAAAAAGCGAGGTTTTGCCGAAACCGGTTTGACTCAGTGGATAGAGCGTCGACCTGTGGACTGAAAAGTCCCAGGTTCGATTCTGGTCAAGAGCATGTACCTTGGTTGCGGGCACATCCCCTGTAGGGGGTGTGCAAGAGCAGTTGATCGATGTTTCTAGCTTTCTATCCCTCTCTCTTCCTTTCTGTAAAAACTCAATAAAATATATTTTTTTTAAAAATAAAAAATAAAGTGAGTTTTTGACTGGCTTCACTGAATCAAAAAGAACCCCCCTGTTTTCAGCCCTAATAATTTGTTTGGTGTTCTGAGGTGCAAGGGGGCGATGGTCACTCTCCCTGCTGAAAGGGTCCTGACAGGTTCCATGCCACTAACCTCCCTCCCTTTCTTGCCCCAGGCCAGGTACACAGGGCTTGTGTTCTTCCACGAAGGCTGGCCGCTGTGCGTCCACGGGAAGGTGGTGGTGCAGCTGGCATCCCTGCGCGGAGTGAGGCTCAGGCCCGGTGACTTCTACCTGCAGGTCACACCAGCGGGGACGCAGTCCGCCAGACTGGTCTTAAAATGCCTCTCCCGGCTGGGGCGAGGCTCCGAGGAAGTTGCTGTGCCTGAGGCCATGTACGGCTGTGTCTTCACAGGAGAGTTCCTGGACCGGGTGAACAGGGAACGCAATAGCGTCCTCTTGAAAAACTGCTTGCTGACCTCAGGCTCTGCTGTCTACCGCACCCCCTGGAGCAACGTCACAGCCCCTGTGTTTGTACCCATCGGCGGAAGAGTCCTGCCCCACTGCCCCAGCCGTCCTGGGCCTGAGCGGCCACCCAGCTGTGCCTCCGAAGCCCTGACCCCGGCGCCGGCCATGGCCAGCGACACTCGGACCCTGCCCCACGGCGGGGGGCCCGAGGACAGTGACCGGCCTGGCCACCTTCCTTCTCTGAGAAGAGCTGAGTGCGAAAGCCCCAGGAGCTCTGAGATCGGCCCATGGGAGCCCCGTGCAAGCCCTAAAGGACCAGGAGGGAGACTGGACCCCGTGGACAAGCAGGATGGCCCCCAGGCCCTCACCTCCCCCGAGGATGCAGGCAGCCTGAGCTCCAGCAGGCGGCCGCCTGGGGCCCCTGCCGCCACCGTGGAGGCCAGACGCTGGTTCAGGAATTCCTACATGGAGGCCCTTCAGAACCCCATGCCCCTGGGCTCCAGCTCCGAGGAGGAGTCCCTCGTGGATGATGCCTGTGGCACCCGGAGCAAGAGGGCCGGGCCGGCGTCCAGCCAGCCCCAGAAAGAAACCCCCAGTCCCCAGGGAGGACGCCAGGGGATCCGGAGACGACAGAGCTGTCCGAGCGCCGCTGGGAGGACCCTTCCCAGGAGGTCTCAGTCCTGGGACCGATCCCTCAGGAGCTCCCAAGGTGATGCCCCCCATTCGGCCAGCGCCGGACCCCGAGGTCACCTAGGAGGACAGGCTTTGGGGACCAGAGACTTGGGCTCCAGCCACCCCTCTGGCTGCACCAAAGAGGAAGGTAAACTCTTCTCCCCTCCCCCACTGTCCACTTTCTCCCTGCTTTCCTCCCATCCCCTCTCGTGCCCTATCCCATATCGTTCGGTCACTTGGTTTAGTAGAAGCCAGTCTCCGTATCCATAGTGACTGTTGAAAATAATGCTCACAGGTGTTCCTTTCCTGGGGCTGCTACACCAAATACCATAAGCGTGGTGGTTCAGGATACAGAAACTCATCCCTCCACGTCTGGAGGCCAAAGGTCTGGCTTCACAGACCCACAGGCTCTAAGCGAGGGTGCTTTCTGCTTTTTCTGCTGCTGGGGGTCCAGGCATTCCTGGGCTTGTAGGCACACGCCTGGCTCTTCCCCCTGTCCATGCCTCAAACGACCTTCTCCTTTCTCATATGAAGACACTTGTCATTGGGTTTAGGACTCACCCTAAACTCTATGTATTCACATCTGCCAAGACCCTCTTCCAAAGAAAGTCACATTCCCAGGTCTGGGAGGGGACACATGCTTTTGTGGTCACCGTACACGCCACCATTGCATTAATACTTCTCTGTATAGGTAAATCAAGCATAATGTTCATTTTTTAATGGCACCAGGTCGATGAATTTATGCTCCTTAATTACACTCACTTGAAGGCCCTCAGTAAGTTTCTGATCATCCATTCCTAGAGTACTTTTCCTTAGGTTCTGGAGGGAAAATAATTATATAGAGGAGTGAGTGAGGTGCCTAAAGAAAGATAAGGAAAGAATGGCAACATATTCCTAAGTCAAATATTTTAGCTATTTTATTTATTTATTTATTTTTGTATAATGTTCTGTGATGTACAAAAACAATGACTTTGGAAAGAAGCAAAAAAATATATAAACATGCCGTAGGCCTCAGCAGGTTCAGTGCTAGCAACCCCATACAATAAATACAGTAGTGGTGTAGCGAGGGTCACAGACATCTGACGACAAAATGCTATCACACAATCACGAAGGCGGCAGGTTTAGTTTAAACAACCCAGCACAGCCAGGCAGAAATGGGGCCAGTTGACTCCCTAGGTGTAGAGTAGCACATCTAGGAAGATTCACGGCCTCATGATCAGACATGTGGTATTCTCAAGTACAATCATTTCTCTCGGGCCTAGTGGGCGTCGTCTACTCACGATCTAGAGACTCCTTGGAGAGAAAAAGCTCACATGAATGTAATGTCTTCTCCCCTTGTCCATGTGAGAAAGATTGGCATTTGATGCAGAATTGGTCTTACCCTTGGCCAATGATGTGTCCTAGAATATGTAAGCATACATGAAAAATTCACACTGTGTGATTGGAGTCCTTCAGCTAGTGGAGGGATAGACAAAATTTGTCCATCAAGCAGTGGAGTGAGACCCACATGGGAAAGAATGAGGCTCTGGCACAGGCAACATCATCGGCGAACCTCACAAACACTTCTGCTAACTGAGAGCAGCCAGGTAAGAGACCACATCGTGTTTGGTCCCATTTATATGAAAGGTCCAGAACAGGTGGATGTACAGACAGAAGGTGGACAGGTGGGGGCCTGGAGCTGCAGTGGGAGAGGAGGTTTATCATAAATGGGCATTTTTCAAGGGATGAGAACATTCTAAAACTGATTTATGATGATGGTTGCACACTTGGTAAAGTGTCTCTGAATTGTACACACGTGAAGTGGATGAACTTTATGATATGTAAAATACATCTCAGCAAAGCTTTTTTAAAATACTGTATGTACGAAGGAATGCCGTGGACTTTTTAGGCCCAGCTCTAGTGAGCAAGCTGTGCACAGTTACCCGATGTTAGCCCTGAAGGAAGTGATGGACGAGGCTTAGGGACAGGAAAGAAAAGCCTGTGTTACACAATAAATGAGGATAAACATCCTTTAAACATAAACAACATCCAGCATAAAATGCTTCTCACTGAGGTCCTCAGGCAGTGAGCACACCTGGCGGAACTGAAATACTTAACTGCACATGTTTCCTTACGCTCTGCTTCTCAGGGGCACATCTGTCTCAGACGGTGTGGTACGCCTCTGTTTCTGCCAGAAATGGGGCAAGTTCTCATGGAAACCCACTGTTTCCACACATGTTTTTATCCTCACGTTTGTAGCAAGCTGAGCATCTGCCCTTCAAGTCAGAGCAGTTCTTCATCTGTGACCAGATCTCTTTCTGTTGTCCAGCCGGTGTCCACACAGGTGACCACAGCCTCCGAGGACACGACCCCCGCAGGTCTCCTGACCTGCTTGCTGAGCTGCTGTGTTCCGAGGGTGAGGGACAGCCCCCGGGCATAGGAGACCTGCCCAGCCAGGTGCCCCAGCAGGTGCTGGAGATCAGCCCGGAGCTGCTGCAGTCTGGGGCCATCACCCTCCCAGGTGAGCACGGTTGCCTTACTCGGTTTGGGCTGCGATAACAAATGCCACAGACCAGGTAGCTTATGAAAACAGAAATTTATTTCATACAGTTCTGGGGGCTGAAAGTCAAAGATCAAGGTGCTAACATCAGGTTCTGGTGCAGGACCTCTTCCTGGTCATGGTCAGGACCTTTTCACTTTATCCTTGTGTGGTGGGAGGGCCAGGGAGCCGTGTGGGGTCTCTTATAAGAGCACTAATCCCACTCACAAGGGCCCCACTCTCACCATGGAAGCACCTCCTAAAAGCCCACTTCCTAACACCATCAAATCAGGCTTTAGAATTGGAGCATATGGATTCGGAGGAACATGAACATCCAGATGATAACAGTGGCCATCACTCTCTCAGGTGCACATGGCCTTCACCTGCCCAGGTGGGGGCCAGGCTCTCCTCTCCTGGCCGATCTCACATCTAAGCCAATAACAGTTTGCAGACCCGAGTTCATTATTTCTCAAGCCTGAAGCCATGTGTGCCCCCACAGGGGCTGCCCCCTTTCACAATGCCCTCTATTCCTGCAGGGACCCGGGACCGTCAGGGGAGAGCGGTAGTGCAGGTCTGCACAAGAGGCCCACTCTGGTCCAGCCAACACGTGTCCAGTTCCGAGCTGACCCGCCTGCTGAAGTACCTCCACGGCATCCCCAGGTGGGACTGAGCCGAGTTTCCACTTTTCACACCCCTTTGGGGATAAACCCATGCAAGTGTGCCTCCTCATGCAAGGGTTTTGGTCTGTCGCCTCCGGGACCCTTGTGAACCTGGATAGCACACTCCCGCCTGCCCCTCAGTCTCCTGCTGTCTGGCTCCTCTCTGCGCCACCCCACCTCTCCCCCACACATCATCCCCTCTGCTCACCCTGCCCTCTGCCCTCTGAACTGAGGCTGTCTCACACTCAAGCCTTGAATTCTGTGTCACTTCACATTGTTCAGCATTCCTTCCTTACATGTTTTATACTTCACTCTTTCTAAAACATACTCAAAGTGGCCTTGGATAGAGATATCAACTGATATGAAGATAATATTTAGAATAAGCAGGTGAAGCAATCATTCACATGGGTAGACCCTGGTACTAGGAAGGAGGAAAGACCGACTTGTCTAAGGAAGCCTTATGTTCAGCTGGCAGTGCCAAAGGTCAGAAAGAAGTGTGCCAGCTCCTCAAGAGAGACGCACCCTCCTGGCAGTACTCTCAGAGGACGAGGCCTCCTGGGTCCTTCGGAAGGTTGCGGTGTGGAGCAGGTCTGCCTGGAGAACAGCCTGTTGGAGGCCTTCTCCGGGGCGGTGATTTCAGGTCTGTCCACGGACCAACGGCAGAGACGGGAGAGCTAGAGTCCAGGGTGGTTCGAGTGCATTATTTAGCCCCCTTCTCCCCCGATTTCATCAGATGCTGACACAGTTTGGATAGTCCTCATGGTTCCCAGACCAAGAGTCCCCCCGGGTGCCGAGAGGAAGCACCCCCGGAGGAGGATGGGCTCAGTCATAAAGGCACACGGCCCGTCTCCACATCCTGGCTGAGCATAAAGCAGGATGGTGACAGCTGCCCTAGAGGCCTGTCAGAGGCTTAGAAATAATCTCTCTGAAGTACCTTGACTGAATCCAGAGTATCGTCTTCCACCACATCACATCACGGCAGTCACATAGCACACATCATGCGATGTGATCATATATGAGAGCATGTCATGTGACCTTGTGTGGGCACATGTTATGTGGCACACAGCCATGTGATGTGACGCACTATCACATCACATGATGTGAGCTCATGTGAGCACATCCCAGGTGATCTCATGTTTTTTGCAGTGTATCGCTTTCTATTTTTTTTTTTTAATATATTTTATTGATTTTTTACAGAGAGGAAGGGAGAGAGATAGAGAGATAGAAACATCGATGGAAGAGAGACATCGACCAGCTGCCTCTTGCACACCCCACACCAGGGATGTGCCCGCAACCAATGTACATGCCCTTGACCGGAATCGAACCTGGGACCTTCCAGTCCGCAGACAGATGCTCTATCCACTGAGCCAAACCGGTTTGGGCCATTTTCTATTTTAATTTCTTCTGAAACAGCATAGGTAGGATCAGTGTGGGAACATTAAGGTGGAAAAAAGAATTAAAATATTCTCCCTAACACTCCTTGCACGGAGCAGGTTCCCTGTTATCTGCAGGGCCTAGTTTCACTGCCTGTGCGGGAGACTGTGTTTTCAAATTCATCCGTCAGCACAGATTTCAATATATATTGAAACTACACTGAGAAAGAGAATAGCTTCCCTCTCACCTTAGTTTATTCCTTGTAAGCTTCAGGTAAACACTGTCAAAGCCTTCAGGTAACGATGCTTTCTGTTAACGGAAGCTTCTTTAACGGGAGCCGCAGTGGAGAGCTGTATGCTTTGGGAGTGCCCACCTGCGGCATCCTTAGCCTCGCAAAGCTGGCGGGCGGAGCTGTGTTCTCCGTTTGTAATGAAGCACCTGTGAGTTGAGGCCAAGGGTACTTATGGGGTCACCAGGGCCAGAACTTGAACCTGGAAACTGAGCCCTCTGCTTTGCCTGCCTTGCCTCCGAAAATTCAGGCAGCTCACGTCTCCTCATCAGAGAAGGTGACCCCACCAGCCCACGGCGCTCTGAGAGAGAGCCTCTGTTAGGGAACAGTCCTAAAGCACCAGGACAAACTAGTTCTGGGGCCCCTGGTTTGGCTGGCTATTTCCCTACAAGCCTTGTAATTTCGTTAGCATCTCGGTAGAGTATTACACCTTGAGAAGCCGAAATCCACTCACCATCGTGGAACGTGGCACCTGCCTTCAGCTCTCTGAATGAGGTACCTGAGGTGTCAGCATTGTTAGGAAAAGCACCCAGCAGTATCCTATTACTGCAGGTGTGTTCCAAGGAGCATTTGTTCAGAGGGTGTGCCTTATAAATGCAGCACCATCAGACTCTTAGATACACAGGAATCTTAAAATTAGGAAGAATGTTGGTTGTCATTCATCCGACCTGTGCAATGAAGGAAGCCATAGAGCCAGCCACACTTACCTGGAAATACAAAAGAGAATAGAAGATGGTTCCTGCCTTCAAGGAGACACCCACGGGAGCCCAACTTACCGCAGCTCCCGGCATAAGACAAGTCCTGGGAAGGAGCTGCATTCCAGCAAGGGAGGAGGCTTCCCCACGTGCTGTGTCCCGGAGGATGGTGAGTGCAGACAAGGAAGAGGATGACTTTCCAAGTAGAAGTAAGAGCACACACAGCCCCAGGGCAGTCAGTCATCTTCTGGTGGCACTGAGCGAGGCAGGAGAATAAGGACAAGAGACAGTACAAAGGGGAAAGGTCCCCCTGGGCCAGAAGAGCATGCTGACCTCAACGTGCAGTGGCAGGAGAAGCCGGAACAATGGTGGGAAGGCTGTTGTGATACTTCAGCAGCTCCCTTTGCCTGGAGATGCAGATGGACATGAGGCCTGTTGCCTGATTCCAGCTGATGAGCAGCTTGATTCCTTGGAAGGCAGAGGGTGATGTGTGTCAAGTCAACACTTTTGAGTTCTAAAGATGGGGAGATCTGGGTGAGGACGTCTCACTAAGAGATGGAAAAACAAACCCCGGAAGAGACTTAACCTGCAGTGGTTAACACCATCTGTCTTTCTCCAGGAAAGAGGTGCGGAACCTGGGGCTGGTCATCCTGGTGGACACACGCAGGAGTCCGGCTGTCCCTGCTCTCTCCCAGGCCCTGGCAGCTCTGCAGGTGAGTTGGGGTCACTCCCATCCTCAGTGCCCGAGTGTCTCAGGGCCAAGTGGGCTGTGGGCACAGAGCCCTCTTAGAAGGAGTGTCAGGCCCGTCCCCTGGTCCTCGCTGCAAACCTTGACAGCAGAACCAGCAGGATCAGCCTGTGCAGGCCTTGTGATGTCATGTTCTGTCATCTCCGCAAGAATGGCAGCGACCCCTTCCTCTCATAGCACTATATCTAACATCTGCTACATCAGAGTACAGACCAGACAGGATGGAGCATAGAGGGGTGGCTGCCACTCACTATGAGAATGAATGCCCTGGACCTTGGGGGTGCCTCTGGGACTGGTTCACGAAGGTTGTCCAGCAAGTCCATGGTCCCCCCCAGGAAGACCCCACCCTGGATTCTGGTTTATGAATAAAATCCAAAGAGGATTGGGGAATCCCTGAAATGGGAATAAAGACACTGCGGTGATGTTCCAGGTACCCAGGGCTGACAGGAACCAAAGAGCGTCAGCTCCCTCAGACATATGTACACAGGGCCCTTTGTGTGCCAAGCACTGTGCTGGGGCCTGGGGTGTCAGAGGCTCCTGGAATCTTCTCCAGCTGCCCTACCTACTCCCTGAGCCAAAATCAGTGTCCTGTGTTCTGTCTCTGCTCAAGATGCAAAGACAGAACCGGCTGCTGTTCTCACCCAGTTTCTTAAGTTGAGCGATGCCACATGGAAGTTCTTCTCAGTAAAGACTCAGGGACAGAGGTCGGAGTGTAAGTGTTGGGGCCAGTGAGGCCAGGCTGGAGAGACCTGGGGAGACGATGGGAACCTCCAGGCTGGAGACACACGGCCCAGAGCTGAGGCCAGGCAGCGGGCAGGTTAGCAGGAGCAGAGACATCCCTGGTTTGGGCATGTAGGCGGTGGTGCTGCTCCTGGCCTGACCCAGCTTCTGGGAGGTGAAACAAGGCTGCTGGCCACCCAGCTCTTGTGAAAACAACTCAGAGCAAACCTGATGGGTGACGTCTACATTTCAGAGCGATGTACGTGCTCAGTCTTAGCTTTCTGCAAAAAAGGTTCACATTGCATTCCTGAGAAGCCTGAGTTATCTCCTCTGACACAGCAACAGGTTTGACATGCCAACATTCAATTTCTGTAAGACATTTCAGAAGCACATCATCCATTTGCTCTTATTTCCTGTTGGGCTCAAAAGTCAGAATCCAGGATGTCATCCAGTTTTGTGTTCTTATTCTGCCCAAGACTGGGAAAATTCCTTCGAGATTCTGGCCTTCCATAATTACATGCAATTTTATATAACAGTATAAAGACTGAGAAATTGCCAAGTAAAGTTTTTTTTAAAAAAATACATAGATGATTGCTTTCCAGAAAAATTTTGAAGAAAGTTCTGTTTAAAGATGTAATGGAAATGTTGATGACCCTACGATGTCTTCTGAGTCCTTTGATTTTGCTAAAAGATTATTAATCTGAACTTCCTGGATGGTTGTAATCCAACTGGACAAAAAAACATGTGTCAATAACTCAGAAATACATTTCCGTGAAGTTAGTGGTTGAATGCCTCAGGTAATAACATCAGGTCAACATCCACATTAATAGCAACTTGAGAGAAAAGCTATTTTGTTTTGCCTCCAAAACCAAACTAAAATATCACCATTGATTAAATATTTTGAAAAATGTAACCAGAAGTTTTGAGCAAAAATTCCTAGAAATCCTTTCATTTGCTTCATGTAGCTTGTTGGAGAAAGCTATATAATCATGAAAGACCTGTGAGAGCTACCAGACCCTCGTGCACTATGCTAAGGGAAGGAAGCCAATACTTGTGTGATCCCATTTATCTGATAACTTGGAAAGGTATATTTATTGAGACAGGAAACAGAGCAGTGGTATCCAGGGGCCATGGATCTTGACTAGAAAGGAGTGTAAAGAAATTTGGAGGATGCTAAACTGTTCCTTATCTTCATAGTGGTGGTGGTTACATAACTATAAGTTATACCAAAACTTAGAAAACTGTCCTCTAAAAAAGGTGAACTTTATTATATGTAAATTACAACCAATAAACCTGAATTCATTAAATAATTCATAAGGATAACTAATTTACACTTAGAGCAAAGGCATTCTAAATATTTTGGCAAAACATCAAAGTGGAAGTAGCACCAATCAAAATTGGACAATTCTATCAACTCAGTGAAGTTAAAAATTAGAATTAATTTTTATTTTCTAATTAATTAATATTTTTACTTATTTCAGAACATATCTCCACCCATAATTCATAGTATTTTGCTGTTGGTGGATAAAGATTCAGCATTCAGGCCTGACAAGGATGCAGCAATTCAGGTAATGGTTTTAGACCCTCAGCATTAGATCTGACTTTGAGTGATGCATAATGTTAAATATTAAGGCACCCAGATGAGATAAACATTTGAAAGAATTTATGTAAGTTCTGGTCTCAGCCACAAAGAAGCCTGGAGCCCTGTCTCTGGCCCTTCACTTCTTGCTGGAGCCGTGCAGAGCATAGCATCAGAACACTTTCAAAATTGGATCTTCTCTACCTCAGTTGCTTTCTTTCCTTATCTTTCTTGCTTCTTTCTCTTTTATTTGAAAACTTCTTTGCTTTCTTTCTTGAAGGATATTTTCACTAGATATGGACTTTTGGCTTCATAGTAGTTTTTCTGTTTGTTTGTTTTTCTAGCACTTTAAAGATGTTATTCTTTTTTTTTTCTGGCCTTCCTATTTGCTGATGAAAAGTACATGGTATTTCAGGTAATTGTTCATCTATTGGAAATGCCATTTTCCTCTGGCTATTTTCCCTCTTTTTTCTTCAGCAAATTGACTATAATGTGACTAAGTATGGTTTTCATTATATTTATCCCATTAGCTATGGCTGAAATTTTATGTCTATCACCAAATTTAGATAGTTTTCAGTCATTATTTCTTGAAATGTTTTTTTCTGCTTAATCAGGGCAACCCTCTCTTTCTAGGATTTCAGTTACACACACTGAAGTCATATCAGGTCTCTGAGAATGTCTTTTTTAAAATGTTTTTTTCTCTCTCTTCTTCAGATCAGATTGTTTCCACTGATCTATCTTAAAGATCACTGACTCTCTATTCTCATCTCCAGTCAGCTATTCATCCCATCTATTGAATTTTTAAATTCAAATATTGTGTTTTCCAGCTATAAAATTTCCAGTGGGTTTTTAAGTATAATCTCTGCTGAGATTTCCTATCCTCTTATTAATTGCAAGTGTTTTTCCTTTATATCTTTGAGCATAGTTATAATAGTTGCTTTAAAGTGCTTGTCTAGTAATTTCAACACCTGGGTCTCCTCAGTGTTGGCCTCTGTTGATTGTCTTTTCCTTTGAGAATGAGTCACATGTTCCTGATTCTTCATGTGTCAACTAATTTTGGATGGTATTCTAGACATTGTGAACATTCTGTTGTAGACTCTAGATGCTGTTATAAACCTCCACACAGTGCTATTTTAGTGTGAATTTGACTCGGTTAGACCCAAGCTGAAAACCATCCCTTGCATAGGTTCAGTTCAGATTTTGCCTTCAGTTGCTCAAAGTCCTCCCCGTGTACACATGGTTCTGGGTCAGAGTTCACAGACTTGTGGAGCTCCCCTTCCCCAGCTTTCTCCCTCATGAGGATTGATCTTCACATCCCATCCCATCTTTGGGCCAGAAAGATGCCAGTTTTCTATCAGAGTTTTAGCCACTCTTGTCACACCATTAGCAGCCTGCTTTCCCGCCAAAGCCATAAAAATGGATGCTCCCTCCATGCTGGTTCCTTCGTCCACTTTCCGTTGCTCACAATCAGCCCGGCTTTGTTCCCCCTTCAGAGCTTTCAGACAGTTGTCATTGCACTTTGTCCAAAGTGTGTGGTTTTGTCTGCAAAGGGTCAACTCTGCCATGCCAGAAACAGCACATCCTCACTTTCCTCCTCCTGCCTTTTTCCTTCTCCCCTCATCATCTTGCCCTTGCTTCTTTCCCAGCCCTTTCCCTCCCCCTCCCTTTTTTTTTTTTTTTTGTTTTTTTTGTTTTGTTGACTTTCCTTAAAGGGGACTTCATTTCTCTTTGCTACCCTCTCCTTTCTCTTCTTCTTCCCTTCATTCCTGTATCCAACCACACATAGTCCGTTAATGCCATCAGCTAGGCAGCATAGCGGAACCCATCCACAGCAATTCCCCCAGGAAGGAGCCACCAGCGGTGTTTCCCTCTCCCGGCAGTGCGAAGTGCTGGGCTCCCTGAAGGCTCTGCACAAGTTTGTCGACAGCTCCCAGCTGACTGCAGACCTCGAGGGCTCCTTCCCCTACAGCCACAGCGACTGGATCTGCTTCCGCCAGGTAAGGAGCCACAGTCACCAGGGGACTTCTCCTAATGGACATTTCCACTCAAATCTGAAAGGGCCTCGCCACCCCTGGCCTCACCTTCCACAGTTGCCTTTGTAGTCTGTTTCTAACTACTGTGCTGCCCAGGCTTAAGAATGCCACTAAAATCCAGCCCTGGACGAGGAGGGTGCTGCTCCTGAGCTTCCCAGACAGCCAGGGGTCACTGGGAGACACCATGACAGGCTTACTATCTGGGTCAGTTTAAACGTGGGGACTCACAGCTGCTTGCTTCAGTGTATGACGGAATGTGTCTTTTTTGTCTCCTCCTCTCAAACCACAATAGAAACTGGAGCCCTTTGTCACAAACTGCCAGGATGCCATTGCTTTCTTACAAAATTTAGTTAGCTACCTGAACACCCACAGGACTCTACGCACTGCTCAGGTAGGTTCTTGGTATTTTATTTTATTTTATCTTATTTTATTTTATTTTATTTTATTTTATTTTATTTTATTTTATAAGTAGAAACATAGGAGTTTAGCCAAAACTTGAAAGTTAATATTTGGCTGAAAACAATTTGGCTCAGTGGATAGAGCGTCGGCCTGCTAACTGAAAGGTCCTGGGTTTGATTCCAGTCAAGGGCATGTACATTGGTTGTGGGCACATCCCCGGTGGGGGCTGTGCAGGAGGCAGCTGGTTGATGTTTCTCTCCCATCAATGTTTCTAGCTCTCCATCCCTCTCCTTTCCTCTCTGTGAAAAATCAATAAAATACATATTTTTTTAAAAAAGTTAATATTTGGTTTCACTGCCATCCATAGTAGAGATTCTCAAACCCTTTGGATTTGTAGATCCCTTTTGGTAGATCACTTCCTCCCCCTTATGACCAAAACAACCCCACCCTGCCAAAAAGAGAAACAGCACCACCACATTTGATGCCATGCCAGCAAGGCATGAGTGAGTGCTGCTGGGAACAAACAGCTCAAACACATAGAGAAGGGCTGGCCGGAGGGACCATGACAACCTGGAGACCCCTTGTGGCTGCCTAGGGTGTGTGTGCCTCCAGACATCAGGTTCTCCTATGCTGAGTTTCAGTTTCCCTCTGGCCCTGTCACAGACTTCCCTCCCCTGGGTAAGAATTCTGGAATCTGCTATCTACCCTCCTGCTAGGACTGAGTGGTGGGTGTGGCCACCCCACTGTGCCTTCAGCTTGATTGCTCACATCTAATTCCTACCCAACGTTAGACCTGGGAGGACTGCCTGGAGGAGGGGGTTTTTACACACATTTCTCCCACCCCTGCAGGAGGTCACAGAGTTAATCGGTGAGCACAAGGCCATAATGAAACAAGTCCTGGAAGACGCACTGCTGGTCACCCTCCGCCTGGAAGGTGGGACTGTGCTGGCACGGCTAAGGAGGAAGGAGCAAGGAACCAGTGAAGACAGCCGGTAAGTGTCAGCGCTGGGGCATGTTGTGGTGAAGCACAGCATTCTGCCCCACAGAGAAAGCCCTCTCTGTCGTAGGCAGCATCCAAGGGGCCCAGACCTCCATTCCTCTGACAGACAGGCTTGACTGGCCCAGAGCGTGTCTCATTCAGAGACTCTAGGGAAAACTAGCTGAGTCCTTGGGATGCTCAGGGGGAAGACAAAACTCATTATAGTGGGATTCAGCAGCCAGAGATCCTGACCCAGTGCTTCCTCCACCCACATTTCAGTCCCTCCTTGAGGTGCCTGCATGGATGTGGCCAGCAGATGTCACCGCTGCTCAGGCCCTGGGCCCCATCAGGGGCTTCCATGGTTCAGATGTGGACACAAGAAGAGTGCAGTTGTGTGTTTTAAGTAGGTTGTCACCAACAGCATGTTCCTAAGAGGATGGCCTGTGAACAAACCAGTGATCAGGACGTGACACCAGACAGCTGCCTTCTCTTCCAGAGACAGCATTGAGGCTGCCTCCCGATTGTACAACCAAGTGGACGAAGAGGTGCACAGGCTGGTCCTCACCTCCAACAGGTGTCTCCAGGAGCTGGAGGGTCTGCGGGAACTGAGGGAACTCCAGGAGGAGCGTGACCAGGTCAGCCAGCATCTGGGAGGGAGGTCAGCCAGCATCTGGGAGAGAGGGGACCAGGTCAGCCAGCCTCTGGGAGGGAGGGGACCAGGTCAGCCAGCATCTGGGAGGGAGGGGACCAGGCCAGTGCTCCAGGAGGGAGGTGACCAGGTCAGCCATATCTGGGAGGGAAGGGACCAGGTTAACCAGCATCGGGGAGGGAGGGGACCAGGTTAATCAGCATATAGGAGAAAGGGGACCAGGTCAGCCAGCATCGGAGAGGGAGGGGACCAGGCCAGTGTTCCAGGAGGGCGGGGACCAGGTCAGCCAGCATTGGGGAGGAAGGGGACCAGGTTAACCAGCTTCGGGGAGAGAGGGGACCAGGCCAATGTTCCAGGAGGGAGGGGACCAGGTCAGCCAGTGTCAGCGCACACACAAAAGCCTGTGCTATGAGTTACAATGGCTGTGATCCCACTGTTTTCAGTAACAGACCTCTCTTCTCGGGCACCTGACAGCCAGGGGTCCCTGGCATTGCTCGCCAGTGAGAACTGTGAATGGGAAAGAAGCATTTCCCTCTGACATGTTCTGTCTGAACCATGAGATATTGCCACGGGATTTGTCTCTAAGACGGAAAACTGGACCACATCACACTGTCAGGTGGAGGCAGGGTTGCCATCGGCCCCGCTGTCCCTCCCAGGCAGCCCCCGCTGTCCCAGCACCACCAGCCTGAAGACTGTTTGTGGGGTATGTTTAGCGTAGTAAGAAGTTTCAACAGCGGAAGTTCTGGATCTGTTTTTTCAGTGATCTGTTTCCAGTTCCAAACAGTGAAAATAGTTGTAGACTTGAGCCTTCGTTGTGGCCCTCCCTGCGATGTAGCTACTCACCTGTTGGAGTGAGATGCTGGGTTTGCGTCAGGAGAAGGCATGTCGGAACTCGGGAGCCAGCCCAGGACAGCACCGGACGCCTCCTTCCTCCTCCCCAGTCTCGGAGCTGGACTCCTTCCCATGCGTGGAAGTAACATCTTCTTTTCCCGTGCAGATCCAAGCGTGGTTTGAACGAGAGCACGAGAAGTGGCTGAGCCCTTTGGAGCTGCTCCCTGTGGAAAACATGAAGCTGCTGCCGACGGTGGGTGCAGCCCAGCTCCCAGACCCCCCAGTAAGTGCCCCACTTGTGCTCCTGGCTGATGCCTTGGGCTCCGGCAGTGCTGTCAGGAAGGACAACAGCTGAAGGAAGAGAACAGCTCGAGGGGCTCAGAGGACACCGTGCAGGATGCTGGCGGGGGGCGGGAGGGGGGAGGTGCGTATCTGAGCACCTCGGCCGGCCAGGAGCGGACAGAGGGAGAGCTGGCCCAATGGGCCCGCCACTCCCAGGTCTTCCTAGCGCTAAGAGACCCAGTGGAGTTCCACTCGGGGATCCACGCCTGCTGGATCCTTTACTCCTCGGACATTTAGTGAGTGCTGTCCCCTGCTGGTCTGGGTGGGCGAGGCGCTGGGACAGCTGGCCAGCGCTCCAGTCAGACCACGCCCCTGGTTCTCAGGAGACCTATGAGGAGTTAACATATTGGTCCACTCGTGCCAAATGGACATGCGGACTCTTCTGCTTGTTTACCGGCTGAGTTATAAAGTCCACTTACTGCCAAGGACCCCAAAATAATCGCCACAGGACAGCACATACCTGTGACCTCACAGCACTCTAGAATTACCCAGCCATGGGGGACCCCAGGGCTACAGCCCCCAGGAGCATAGTTCCTTTTGACAGAATCCGAGGGGACAGGGGAGGCCAGCACAGGGCAGGGCAGAGGCAGGGGTTCGGGACCCCACACCAGGCGGAGATAAGGAATAATTGATTTCACAGACATCCCCTGGTCCTGGAGCACCGTCATGGTGCCCTGGGGGCTGGGGAGGACTTGTGTGCCCCTTGGGTGAGTCCAGGTGGCAGCTGCTCCCATGGGCAGAGAGCTGTTCCTCTCACTCTGGCTGTCTGGCTCACCCTGCTCCTCCATGTGGGTGCCTGGATAGCAGAACAATTTTGGGTGGGGCCTGCGGAGCCATCGGGCTGTGCAAGTCCGTTGCTGTACTGACCTGCACCCTCCTTTGCTACACAGGTGAACAGGAGGATGCTGCACAGCAGTGAGTGCCTGCAGCCCCTGGGCCCAGAGCTGGTAGCCAAATACCTAAAGAGCTGCCCCCAGGATGCCATGGCGGTGCTGGGCCTGGGCGGCCAGCAGGCGCTAGAGCAGTGGCACGCCTTGTGGCTGCGGTGCCAGCAGATGCACCTCTGCCCCCAAGAAGCCCTTTTTGAGGCCACCTCAGGCCCCAGTGCCCCACCTCCAGACCAGGAACCCTTGAAGCCTGAGCTCATTCAAGGGGCAGAGATGAGGCTCCGTGAGCCATCCTGGACCCCCCGCGCTGCCCCTCAGGGCTGCGCTAGGGAGCGAGCACAACTGCTGTCCGGCCTCCCTGGACAAGCCTCTTTCTGCGGGCAGGATAGCGAGCACCTGGACTCAGGTCTATGTACCCCAGGCGACAGCTCCACCTGCCCCTCTGAGCCCATCCAGAACCCCATCGTCCACCACAGGAGACATCCCCTGAAGAAAATGATGAAGAAAACATTCAGCTCGGAGGCTCCACCGCTTGACAGCAGCCCCAGGGATTCCCACTGGCCTGCCCACACTGGGGTCTGCGTCAGAGGCCTGGAGGTGGCCTCAGAGAAGAAGCCCCCACTGAGGCCACACGCCAGAAGCCCCCTGGTCACTCGGACCCGAAGCCTGTCCTCTCCCTCCAGGATCCACGCCTCCGAGGAGGACAGGAGGAGGCCCGCAGGAAGGTGAGGTGGACTCCTCTGCAGTCGTGGGGCCTCATGGTCCGTGGGGATCTGGAAATGCAAAGCCATTACATTTGCTCTGCAAGATAGATACCCCTCCAGGCTGCCCTGACCTGTCCAGGCCAGGCAGACTTGTGTTTGACCTTAAGCAAGATGTTGATTACCTCCAGTGCTCAGAACAGATTCGTTGAAAATGCCTTCTTCACGGCTGTGGTTACCTGGCACACCCACTTTATTTTATTTTTTTTTTAAATATATTTTATTGATTTTTTTACAGAGAGGAAGGGAGAGAGATAGAGTCAGAAACATCAATGAGAGAGAAACATCGATCAGCTGCCTCCTGCACTTACTGGGGTACATGATTTTGACCGGAATCGAACCTGGGACCCTTCAGTTCTCAGGCCAACACTCCATCCACTGAGCCAAACCGGTTTCGGCTGGCACACCCACTTTAATGGTTAAACAGCCAAGTCTAGTTACTCGGAGCCCACTTATAGAAAATTACAATAAGCAAATCAAGCCCACAACACGAAGAAATTACCTTAAAAAGTGCTTTTTAAAAAGCCTCTAAGTGCCCCAGTCAGAAGTATGTACCTGTGTATGTATTGCCCAAATGAAGATAGATGTCCATTTTAACGTGTTAATCTTTGAGGTGTTTGTAAAATGATACTTTTTGTTAATTGTTTAGGTAAAGTGGCAGGAATTCGCCATTAGAGGTATTAGAATTAAGTAATTTAAGAAAGTTGACAATAGGATGCTCTCAAATAGGGAGAAAAGCAATGTGCCTTGCTATTAGGGGGTGTGGCCAGGCCACCACAGGCCTCTCTCTTCTGGTTTCCCTGATGAAGGGCCTTTGATGCAGCTGATTGGTGACATATAAGTGCTAGCACGCCACACAGAAGGAGCCCCAGGAGCCCTGGGCTGGGTGGGAGGAGATATCTCCCCCCAACACACACACACACACACACACACACACACACACACACACACACACACTTTGTCTCCTCACTGTCCTGGGCCCCAGGCCCTGCTGTGGTATCTTCTGCTCCAGCTGCTTCTCCTCAGCTCCTGGGTGGGACGTCACTACAGTTTAAAGCTGTTTTGTTTTTCAGAAATTTCTTCTGATAGGTTAGCATTCGGGGCGCATCTGAAGCTCATTTGCTCACAAATCTCCAGCTCAGCCTTCCTGCACAGGGCTTGCTGCTGGGGGTCAAGTCTTCTTATTGCTGGAACCACACCCCAACCCCCACCGCCCAAGCAGGCACTAATCAGGCTGCCTGGGAACGAGAACCCGTAGGACTCACTCAGGGAGCCTGCGAGTCTCCCCTTTTCCATTTCCTAAAACCGTGGTCGGCAAACTCATTAGACAGCTAAGCCAAATATCAACAGTACAACGATTGAAATGTCTTTTGAGAGTCAAATTTTTTTAAACTTAAACTATATAGGTAGGTGCATTGTTATTAACTTAATTAGGGTACTGCTAAGCTGGCCTTGGCTAAAAACTCAAGGGGCCAAAGAGCCACAGTTTGCCGACCACTGTCCTAAAGGATTTTCATTTGAAAAGGCCGTGACCAGTAGCATGGGAACACACACCTCTCCCCTGTACCTCTTACCTTTCTTCATTCTCCGTCAGGGGAGCAGCTCCTGGGAGCCAGGTGTGATGCGGGTGTGGGGCCCACTTAACCTTACTCACAGCCAGAGACAGAAAACTTACCTGGGAAGATGCTGAGCCGTGCGTCTGCCGTTAGTGCGTCCCTCAGCGTCCTGCCCGCTCTCTGTGTCTTCCAGCAGCCGCCTGCAGCACATAATGGCCGAGATGATCTCCACGGAGAGGGAGTATGTTAGGTCCTTAGGATATGTCGTCGACAACTATTTTCCAGAGATGGAAAGAGCGGACCTGCCGCCGGACCTGCGAGGGAAGCGCGGCATCATCTTTGGGAACTTGGAGAAGCTCTACGACTTCCACCAGCGGCACTTCCTCTCGGAGCTGGAGCGCTGCCGGCACTGCCCCTTGGCCGCGGGCCGAGGGTTCCTGAGACACGTAAGTTCCCCACCCCGATGGTGGGCAGCCAGTACTCGCCCTCGGAGCAGTGGGATCTGGAGTGCCCACCCTTGTTCCAGGCCATCGGGAGCCTGCAGTACAGGCTTAGAACATGTGTCCCCCGAAACACACTAAGACCCATCGATACACAGGCGCCCAGAGCAGACCATAAGCCTGTCAGTCCGACAGCACAGACACGGTACTCCCAGGTCCCCTGCCAGCACCCTTGTTGAAAGCCACACGGTGCTGGGGGCTTCGTCTGCATCGGCCCACTTAATTCTATCCACAGCCCCACTTCCTCACCTAATCAGCCAAAAGGAACTCCCAAAATCAGTTTGCTTCCTGCATGGAGAAGCCTGCGGTCCCTTCACACCCTCCTGCCTAGGGTCCACCCAGTTCCCCTTCCAGACGGGTCCCAGGACCAGCCTGCCCAGTCCTGAGAGCATCTGGTCGGGGTGCACAGATCACCTGCAGAGAGCTGCCCTTTCTCTTCTCCACCATGAATAGGGAGGAGCTCCCTGTTGGGGTCCCTGATAGAATAAGTAATTGGCCCTGAAAAGAAGATTCTTTCAACAAGTAGCTGCGAGGCACAGGTGTAGGCCCTAGGCAGACGGCACGTGTGCCTCAGTGGTGTTAGATCTCAGTGACCACCAGGATGACAGAAAGTCCACAGTATGTCTTTTCAGCTGTTTTTGAAAGGGCACGTTTAGCCATAAGGTGCAACTTGTGTAATGTTTAAAATTTGTAAGAATTTTAAATGTTTGAACAACATTGGTTCTTGACCATTAACAAAAACTTCAGCACGCCCATGCTCCTCCCTGCCCGCCCTGTGAGTGTTCCTCACGCCTCTTCCCCCGAACTATGTATGAAGACCCACCCAGGACTCTGGCATTGCCCCCAAGAGCACCCACCATGCAGGGGAGGCCGAGGCGGCCCTAATGTGGCACCTTTTCTCGTGACCGTGTTAAGAATGTGCTGCAGGCTGGGGCCGCGGCCCAGGCTCTGGCCAGAGCCCCGCTCACGTGCATCATCCCTCCCCTTTGCAGGAAGAACAGTTTGGCATGTATGCGCTCTACAGCAAGAACAAGCCCCAGTCAGATGCCCTGCTCTGCAGCCACGGTCTCACCTTCTTCAAGGTCATCCCCCAGCCCGCCAGCCTGCTGCACCACCCCTGGCCTGGCCCAAACTGACCCTGTCCTCCGGCCCTTGCAGGACAAGCAGCAGGCGCTGGGCGACAAGATGGACCTGGCCTCCTACCTGCTGAAGCCTGTGCAGCGCATGGGCAAGTACGCCCTGCTGCTGCAGGACCTGGTCAAGGAAGCCGGGCGCTGCCCCGCCCATGAGCAGGAGCTGGCAGAGCTGAAGGCCGCGGAGGACATGGTCCGCTTCCAGCTGCGCCACGGCAACGATCTGCTGGCCCTGGATGCCGTTCGCCGCTGCCACGTGAGTGCCCCAAGGCCCCAACAGGCGCTGGTGGTTCGGGGCTCTGGGTTGATCAAGGGGAAGGTCATGCCTGCGGTCAGGAGCACAGAACTTTTCTTTAGGGATGTCCTTGAAGCTTAGCTCCCCCCACACATGCGACACTCCCCCCCTAGCTGCCAAGGGAGAGAGGGGAGTGGAGAGGAGCTCAGGGTCCAGTTTGGAGCAGCAGCTGTAGGGTGTGAGATCAGGTGGGCTCCAAGGGCTGCACACTGTAGGCACCAGGGCTATTTGAAAACACCTGAAATGCATGAAAGTTGAGTTGGGCCATTGGGCTTGAGGCCTGGCCTGGCCATGTGTGGGCTGGTCTCTACTAGGGAGCCGAGGCCCAGCATCCACATCCCCACACCTTGGCGTGGCAGGACCACCTGGGCAGGACCACCTGGGCAGGAAGAGGAGACTCCCAGTGAGGCAGGATTCCTTATCTCTGGTGGTCAGATGGACAGCTGTAGAATTTCCAGATGACAGTGAAAATGCAGGCACCTTGCTAAGAGCAACATTCTAACCTGTGGACACAGACAATAGTGCGGTGAAGGCCTGGGCAGAGGGTGGGATTGGGAAATAGGAGTCAATTGGGAGGAAGGGGGACATCTGTAATACTTTTTCACAAGAAAGATAATTTTTTTTATTGATTTCAGAGAGGAAGGGAGAGGAAGAGAGAGATAGAAACATCATTGATGAGAGAATCATTGATCAGCTGCCTCCTGCACGCTCCACACTAGGGATTGAGCCCGCAACCTCAGGCATATGCCCTTGACCGGAATTGAACCCAGGACCCTTTAGTCTGCAGGCTGACACTCTATCCACTGGGCCAAACCAGCCAGGCCAAGAAAGATAATTATTTTACAAGGGAGTTTCAAGAGGACAACAGAGCAACAAACCACAGGATCATCGCCAAAAACCCATAGCCCCTCAAACTCTCCCAGTGCGCTCGGCTGAGCAAATGGGATGACTAGGATCCATGCAGCATCCTCAGGCATCACCCAGGACAGAGCCATACACAGAGGGAAAGTCATAGGAGAGACATCACTGTGTTGTCTGTCATTGGGATCCATCCACAAAGAGTGCTAGCCTGGCTGGGGCACAGCAGGTACACCCCCGAGTATCAGCTCAGAGGGATTTCCATGGTGTGGGACAGCTCAGGTGTGGTAACTCCTGGGGCCACCAGACTGGGCATTTATACACAATGAATGAGACTCCGGCACTTTAACAAGGGGTTTTCTGTTAACATGAACAAAAGGGCTGCCCTGGACAGTGTGGCTCCGTTGGTTGAGCCAATGCATGCATCATGAGGTTTGCAGTTCAATTCCCGGTTAGGGCACATGCTCGGGTTGAGGGCGGAATGCCCGGGTTGAGGGCTCCATAACCAGTAGCAGGCATACAGGAAGCAGCCAATTGATGTTTCTCTCTCACATCAATGTTTCTCTCCCTCTCTAACATCAGTGGAAACATTATTTTTTTAATGAAGAAAAGGGCTTTGAAGTGGAAAGTTGAGTAAAATTGAAGGCAGGGGCTTGCACTGTAACATCCATGCATATGAACATGAATGTGGGCACGACCGGGAGGGTTCTGCACCCAGTTCCAATGTGGGGTTTCTCCCACACATCCAAGCAATTTTTGGGACCAGCTGGGTATCCTGTAATTCAACGCACTTCTGAAACCTCCTACCCTTCAATGACGTAGACCCACAGGCTCAGACCAAGAGACTCCTTTCCACTTCATATGCCAATCACAAGTCCAAGCTGTCACTTGTTCTCTGACCAACCAGCGGTAGATGGAAGGGTCCCACGACCATTCCTGGGTCCCATTAATTTCCTACGACTAGCTCACAGAACTCAGGGAAATAGCTCCCTTCCTGGATCACCGGTTGATTATAAAAGGTACATTTCAGGAACAGCGAGACGGAAGAGATGCTCAGGGCAAGGCGTGGGAGGAGGGTGTGGAGCATCCCCTCGCCTTCATGTGCTCACAACAGGAAGCTCCGCCCCCTGTCCTCACGGGGTTTTGTGGAGGCCTCCTTACATCGGGGTGACTGAGTGGATCTTTGGCCTTCAGCCCCCCACCCACCTCCAGAGGTCAGTGTGGCCTCGGATCGAACCCAGTGGTCCCTGAGGGAGCCTTGTTTGCTCGGTCCGCAGGTGAATCTGAAGGAGCAGGGGCAACTGAGATGCCGGGACGAGTTCATCGTTTACTGCGGAAGAAAGAAGTACCTGAGGCACGTCTTCCTTTTCGAAGATCTCATCTTGTTCAGCAAGACCAGGAAGGTGGACGGAAGCTATGACATCTACACATACAAGCAGTCCTTCAAGGTAATGTGCCCGCCTTGTGCCTCATGCTGCTGCCGTTGGGCTGGTCCCTGCTTGTCTTCACAGCACGTGTTCTTTCCGATGGTTCTTGAGTGAATTTTGAAAACGAGTGACTCCCAAAGCTTTCAGGCTTTCTGGGTACTGGTTCAGTGGCTGGAGAACAGTGTCTCCTCAGTCTCTTCATTTTGGATTTTGATAAAAACAAACGCCAGAGAAGCCCTCCCCTTGGTGGGTCTCAGGGTGGCCCCCCTGCCCCTAAAGGAGGCCCTGAGAGTAAAGAGCTTTGGGGACTCCTGAGAGGAGCCCAAACCCATAACCCCTTACCTGCCTGACATGAGGAACATGTCAGAGGTGGGATGGTTGTGAGATCCCACCCGGCATGTGACCACCAAGACCTTCCAGTATTGTCCCCATTTCTCCAGTGGGGAAACTGAGGCCTCAAGAGGGAGCCAGTGTGGATGGGGTGAAAATGATCCATTCTGTCCAGAGCTGGCCCCCACCCGGCCTCGGCCTCACCATTTGGTATCCTGGTGAAGAGGCCTTGGGGTCAAGTGTCAGCCCGAAAGGGGTCAGTTGCTCCGAGGGCGTCTCTGAGGTTCCCTCCCACGCTGTGACTGCAGATGGCTGACATCGGCTTGACGGAGACCGTTGGGGACGGTGGTGTGAAATTTGAGATCTGGTTCCGCAGGCGACGGAAGTCCCAGGACTCCTACATTCTCCAGGCGAGCTCTCCAGAGGTCAAGACTATGTGGACCGATGTGATAGGGAAGATCCTGTGGCGGCAGGTTCTGAGGAACAGAGGTGGGTGAGGGGGCGTGAGAGAGTGGGAGAGGGTGGAGGGCAGGAGGCCTGCAGGCAGCACCATTTACCAGGAAAGGCCTGGACCCATCCCATCAGCACACAACACTTATTTCTCCTTAAAACAAATACAAACAATATACTGCATTGTAGTTCCTCATAGTCAGGCTCCCCGACCCCTTAGGCCCATGGAGGTCAGCTGTCTACCCTGCCCGACTTGTCAAGGCCTCCTGACTGGGTGCTGGGCTGATGGTCAACCTGTGATCTCTCCGCTCATGAGGGCCCCTCCTCAATAGGCACCTTTTCCCTTCTGCTGGGTTTCTTCCTTCTCAATATCACCCCTTTGTTCCCTCTTCTGCGCTTATTTAGTCACTGGGGCACCTCTGTCTACACTCACAAGTAGCCATTCATGCAGTCTGGCCACTATAAATGCCATCTTCATAGCGACCCCTTAACCTGGCCTTCCTGTGGCATCTCAGACCCTGCATGCCTGAGGAACCCTACAGGCTCTATCGTCCAAATGGCTAACACAACCACCTGTCCCCTCAGTAGCTATACCATGCCCAGAGCCTTATCCTATCGCAGAGATGCTCCAAAGCCCCCCACTGTCATCTCCTTCAAAGCATAGTTCACCCCTGCACACATGTGCACACATACATGCACCTACTCATGTGAGCATACAACATATGCTCACACTGCACAAGACAGCTCTGCTCAGAGTGCCTAGTGGCTCCTCGATCCCCTCGGAGTGGATCCAGACCTTAAAGGAGCAGGAGGCCCATGGCTAGGTCCCCTATCTCCTCTCCCCAGTCTCCTCTGCTCCTGCCATTCCCTCTACATCCTCCCACCAACTATAATTGTTATCTTTCTTTTCTTTCTTTTTTAGTTTTACCAAGAAGTAATTCATTATTATACTCTTACCCTATGCGTAGGTCTCCTCTCAGTATTCAAAGACACACATATATCTGTCAGTGTGTCCTTCTCATGGCCATGTGCCTTCTGGAGGCCTCTGTTTCCCCGTCTTCTCTGGGAGAGGCCACGTGAGGCCGCTTGGCCGCCCAGCATCACTCTGGGGAGCCGGGTCTGAACTGAGGGTGTTGGGTATAGAACACCACCAAGGGTGGTATTAAACCCAAGGAGTCGCTTGGAGGAGTCTCCTACATTCTTCTCTTTCAGAACTCAGAATGCAAGAAATCGTGCCTGTGGGGCTGGGCAGCACACCGTTCCTGGACATCAAGCCCAGCGGCGCAGCCCTGAGTGACCAAGCTGCCGAGTACAACATGAATGGGACAGGTAAGGTGGTCCGCCCTCCCCACTCCGCCCTGCCAGCTGGAACCCAGGCCCCAGAGCGCCAGGGCGGCACTTAGCAGGGCGGCTGCTGCAGCCAGAAGACCTGGCCAGTCTTCCTGAGGCCCCTGTCCGGTTCTGGCGTCCAGTCTGCACTTCTGAAGCAGGGGCCGACAGCTTGCTTCCTGTCTCCTTCCAGAGTCAAGGGCCCATGTTTCCACAGCTGTGCCTGCCTGTAACCACCCCACGCCCTTCAAGAGACCGCACTCCACCATCTCAGACAGCAGCACCTCCTCCTCCAGCAGCCAGTCCTCTGCCGCCCTGCACATGTCCGCCGGCCAAGCCCACTGGCCCTGGCCGCACGACGTCCACGCCTGCATCGAGGAGGACGAGCCGGAGCAGGAGACGGGGAGCCAGTCCGCGCTACGTGAGTGCACTTGTGCGCTGTGGCCGCCTGCGCTCCAGCCTCTCACGGCTGATGTGGTTTGGGGCCAGTGTATGTGTTCATTTGTTTCGCTTGATTTCCAACATTTTCAAGCAAATTAGAATGTTTCTTTTCTTAAAAAAAAAAAAAAAAAAAAAACACAACCTTTCATTTCGACCCAAAATGAAGTAACGGAACAGATTCAAAACAAATTTTAAAAAACCACACAGGTAGCTGAAGCTGGTTTGGCTCAGTGGATAGAGCATCGGCTTGTGGACTGAAAGGTTCCAGATTCAATTCCGGTCAAGGGCATGTAGCTTGGTTGCAGGCACATCCCCAGTAGAGGGTATGCAAGAGGCAGCTGATCGATGATCCTTTCTCATCGATGTTTCTAACTCCCTATCTCTTCCTCTCTGTAAAAAAAATTAATAAAATATGTTTTTTTTAAAAACCACACAGACAAAACCAAACCAGGAGAAATATATGAAATGAGAGATTTCAAAACACGAAACATCTGACAACAAAGAACGGTGACCCTGAGAGGCAGAAAGATGAGGTGAACCCCGCTACTGCCCTGGTTACTGCCCTGAGTGTCCCCGGACATAGTGCACAGCCTCCCCGTGTGGACGAGACCAAGGTGGTGGGGTTTGCAGGACGAGGTAGGCAAGGCCTGTGCAGCAAAAGGCCTTGGGAGCCTGACAGATGGTTCCCCTCCAAAATCCAAGTCGCGTGGTCAGCACAGCACGTGAAGAACCCCCGAAGCCAGGGAATCTTTGAAAGGCCTAGAGAACACTTGCCACAGTCACACAGGCACCTATCCCACCAGCTGGGCAGGACATTGTGGTTCGCAGGGTGCTAGGCGAGCCTTTGGAAGGGCCTATCTCAGGAGGAGGGAGCATTTGACTGACCCCTGCCCCCAACCCACCCACCAGATCATGAAGCAAGGGCCAAGAGGACTCATTTCCAGGTAACCTCACTGCATCGCAGGACCAAGCTCATAGAGATTTATAGAATCAAAAAATATCCAGCACCCAACAAGGTCAGTTCATATTCTGTGACATCCAGTCATAGCAATAAGCAAGCAAAGAAATAGAAAACATAAACTGTAATGAGAGTATCCAATCCTGCAAAACCAGCTGAAGCTGGTGTGGATGTTAGAATTATCCATTGAGGCCTTCAAACCATTGTTATAACCATTCTTGATGTCTAAGAAGTAATGATGTGGAAGATATGAAAACACCAAGAAAGGACATAGAGGGCAAAAGCTGCAATATTTGAGGTGAAAATGAGACCAGTTAGAGTAACAGAAGAAAATGTTAGTGAATTTGAAGACACATCAGGGGAAAGTGTCCAAAATGAAACACAGAGAGGCAGAAAGAAGGCGAAGGGGAGGGGCACATCCATGAGCTGCTGGATAATAGCGTCCACAGATGTGGGGTTCTATGCTATCTGTGAACTGAGTAATATCACTTGAGGGCAAATTGTGATCTGTTAGATTATAAAACAACAAAACAACCACTAAAATAAAACAAAGAGACAGCTGAAACACTAACAAAGGAGACAAAATGAAACAGTAAGAAAAAAGTCCAAAGAATGTAGAGAAAGAAGAAGAGGGAACAAAGAACAGAGGGCTGACTGGTCAGAGGCAGACCCGTGCTCAGCATGTCAGAGACCATACTGGTCATAATGGGCACCAGCAGCTTTTGGTGAGCGATTCACATGTTCTCTCTGACTGTTGTGTACACACAGTGTAACCTCACAGTATATACACAGGTCCAAAGATGTCCATTTGTGCTTTAGAGGTGTGCACTATCTTGTGTCGCTTACATCCCAGTGAAACAGTATTTTGCACAACATCCTCATGGAGGAAGGGACATGTCTGGAATTCACCATGGTTGGTTATTGGCGTGTGGTCTCCTGCCCAGATGTGGCCCATCCTTGGGCCACACTGCCTGGGACATGTACCTTCCCAAGCCCAAAATGTGTCCTTGCCAGCAGGACAATATCTGAGACTTTGCAACTGACTCACAGCCATCTCTGTGCCTAATGGAAGGCATTGCACATGAACCCTGCTGGGGAGCCCAGGCAGCCAGGTGCTGCACACCTGATCAGAACCAGCAGCAGCCACGGCAGGCTGGGCCACCCGAGTACAATGGGGACATGTGGCATTGCCAGCCCAGGGCGACTGCACTTCCTCAACACATGCTTCTGGCTCAGGACCACTGGTAGCTCACATCTGGGCTGGTGCAGCCTGCAGTCAAGGCCGAGGCTGAGCCCGGATGTGAGGACAAGGAGAAAGGGCCTGTGTTAAGGGCTCATCTTGGCCATCCCCAGCTCAGTGCCCAAACAGCACTCAGGATCCTGCAGAGAATTACAGGGGAACGCCACCAGCCACCCATGCAGGAGATTGAGACTGTGCCCAGGCAGTGGCCTAGAACTCCAGTCTCAGATGTGGGGAGTGGCCCCGGGTCTGGACCCAATGGTTTCAGCTAGGCCAGCCCTCCAGTCCTGCAGCAGAAATGGGGGCGGGGGGGGGGGGGGGGAAGGTCGGGGAGGAGGGGTATAGGTGAACGGAGGGAAAGGAAGAATGTCAGGTCTTGTTTGTCCTGTTCTGGCTCCTTGTTTAAGGGTTGGGACCTTCTTTGGTCTCAGTTTCTGCTTCCCCTTTGACTTGCATGCCCAGTGGTCACAGAGCCCCCGGCATGAGCTGAAGACCGCCTACTGGTGGAGAGGTTGTCTGGGCACCGCCCCCTGGTCTATCAGCTACACTGGCTCAGAGAAGCGGGTCAGGAAACACCGTCCATGAGCATATGTGGTATTACCATCCTGCCACACCATCCTGCTCTGACCAGCCTCACTTGCTGCTAGAAGCTCGCACATGGAGCAGAAAATGCCTAGCTGTTGATTGGCAGGCTCTGAGGCCCCTGAGCATAGAAGAGGCGGGCAGTGCTCATCCCAGTGGACCCGCCCTAATTCTGGTCCTCTCCACAGGTGCTAAGAGCTTGGAGTCTTCCCAGTGCATGTCCGGGGACAGCAGCCCTGGCCCACCCGGGCTGTCACAGCCCCTGTTCTCTGATAAAGGCCCCCAGAGCACATCTCCCCCCCTCCCACCGAGGAACCCGCAGCCACAGCTTGACGGAGCCCAGTTCATCACAACCGTGAGTGTCCCCTCTTCTGAGACCCCACACGAGAGGCCAAGGTGCTTCGGGCGCAGTCAGCACCTGCCCACGTGATGCTGGGCCACCCAGGACCACACAGACCCCACCCCGAGGGGTCATCATGCACGTGAACCTGCTCCCCACCCGCACCCAGCACTGCACGCTGGGCAGGCTGGCTACAAACCGAAGGCCTGGCTCAGGCACTGGGCACTTGGAGTCACTTAGCCAGGGTGATTGTAGGGCCTGCTCACTACTGAGATTTTGCCAGCCCCCTGGAGGCCTGACCTGTACCATTTGGCATTCCCTGGTTCCATTCAGTGGGGCCCTCACTCAAGGCCCTGCATTCTGGGCGTAAGAGGGCAGAGCCATTTCCAAGCAGCCTGCCGAGGAGCAAGCTGAAATCGGAAGATGCAGGGCGGAGGGTTAGCAGGGACTCTGCCTAGAGTCCAGCCCCTTCAGGGACACTCACAGGACTCCCAGTCCTGCCCTTCTGAAGGGATCACATACCTGGCAAATCAGTGTTCCCCCAAATGGATGCAAATGTGTGTTTTTATCTCAGGAGGGTGGCCGGGGCCCAGCCTGCTGTAGAAGGAGGCCCCAAACATTGCCCGGGGTGTGCACTCAGACATCTTCCTGAAGGGGAAGGGCTGACGTGGCCTGGAGAGGGGCCAGGCAACACACAAGTTACCTTTTCAAAGGGACCTCCTCGCAGGACATGGCTGGGCCTGTGGGGTCAGTGCCTTCGCCCACCCCGCCACGTGAGTCTACAGGCACAGCTCCAGTGCTAGAAAGATGCCCTCAGACCACCTCCTGGAAGCCTCGGAAGGGAAGGTCCGATTTTAAGGGTGCGCTGAGCAGAGAGTCGAGGGAATGAGTCTTTAGCTCCCTTGCCCCAGATCATCTGTGAGGCCCAATGACGCTGGTTCTGTAGTGACTTCCCTCCCTTTCTGTCAGAACAACACCCCTCATGTCTTCGGCTTCTGGACAGCGGTTTGAGTGGCAGGCAAAACACTCTGTAAGTAACGATTTTCCCAGCTTCCCCAGTGCACCAGGGTTTCTCTTGCCCACCTAAGGCGCTGGGCACCCCACCACCCCCAGGCTGCCTAACCGAGCCTCTGCCTGTTGCAGATGCTCCCATATCATGATCGCATATCGTGATGGCATTGACAGCACCACGAGAGGGGCGCACCGGCCAGGGAGGGCTGCTCCTCTGCTCCCCCATCTTCCTGTCTAACCTCCCTGTGGTCTCGCTGCCTAAACCCCCTGGTGACCGGCATACTCAAGAGGCCAGCATTGGCCACTCTGAGAGCTCAGGCCTTTCTCCAGCAGGAGGGCCAGGCCTGGGAGAGATATAGTCTGTCCCCAGAGGCCCAGCCAAGGCACTGGAGACCACCTACCCCGCCCGTGCCTTCAGGGTGTCCTCCAGAGCACCCTCTATCAGCAGTGGCTCAGGGGGACCTGGCACCCTCTCCTGAGAATGGGGCCTCCCTGACATCCACTCCCACCTGTACAGACAAGCAGGTGGCTCGCCAGCAGTTGTCCCCAGACAAGGCTGTCACTCATTGTGCCCAGTACTGCGTGCGGGAAGTCCATGCACACATCGAATCCACATCACAGCAGGCACAATGCTGCGCGGGCACCATGCGTGGCAGCCACAGTCCAGTCGTCAGGATGAGGACTTGGCGGCAGGTTCCCTGAGTGTGAAGCCACTTCCTCCACCATGATCTCAGGCCTTGGTGTCCTGGGCGGACAGTGGAGGAGGCACAAAGGAGTGCAGGAGACATCTCTGCCTGAATCCCATTCTCAGACTCCAGAGAAGACCCCTGCTCACCCCCTCCCACCATCCCCACTCCCTCCCACCATCCCCACCCCCTCCCACAGTTTCCCTGCACTGACCACCTTCTGTGTGTGTGTGTGTAGGAGCAAATGACAAGTCTACAAGTACATGTGAAACCCCTGTGCCTGTAAAATAGACTGTTTTCCACAAACCACCTGTGAAATTGTTGTATGAGATACAAGATACCGTAATGAGCCAATTAATTAGGAGTCGTTTATTGCGGACGCCCTGTGATGCTAGCTGAGGGCCGCCACTCCCTTCCAGGCCCAGACCTGTCACTCACAGACCAGTGCTGCACCTGCCACGGGGGAGTCAGCTCACAGGGGCTCTTGTTCAGGGGCCTTGTCCTGGACCTTGCCTGGCCCAGTGCTTCTTAGAAAGGATGTGTCCACGAGCCTAGAGTGCCTTTTGTGGTGGGAGGACCCCTGTAGTGCCTCACCGACAAGGACTCGGTGCTCTGGCAGACCTGAGGTAACAGGGTCATTCTTTTGACAGCTCTGAGACCGGGATGGGATGTGGCTACTCCAGGCAGAGGAACCTCAGTCGAGACCTGCACATGAGGTCTGAGGATGAAGCTCCAGCTGGGCGCTCTGGCCACGGGGTTCTCGGTCACACGCCCCTTGTGACCTGACGTCATTTCCATCAGTGAACCGCTCAGCCTGTGCATGGCCAGGCCTCCGCTTCCTCCTTCCTGTATGGTTCTTCCCCCTCCGTCCAGCACCGACACCCCATGCGGCCCTGCCTCTCCCACTGTGGTGGGAGCACACAGACCCCTGAGCCCTCTGGGACTGTATCTCTGTACATCAGGCTGTGGGTGACGGGCCCCACAGAGATGGGTCCCAGGTGCAGGGTGAGTATAAGGGAACCCGTGTAACGAGCTGTATGTAGTCAGCAAAGCAATACTAGAGTTAGGCTCAAGGGCCACAGGTCACCTCCTGTGAGCCTGGGTAGAGGCTGCACCCTGCTTCCCAGGCAGGCACCAGGGTGGGGCAGGGGCACAGCAGGTGAGCTTGCAGCTCTGAGGAGCCGGTGCCGGAGGCCCGTTGGTGTGGACGTTGCCCGAGAAGACCACCCTCACCAGATGAGTTGAATCGGAAGCAGGGAGAGCCTGGGAGACGCCAGACCTGTAATGAGCTTCCTGCTGCAGACATCCCCCACCCCACCCCGCACCACCACCACATGGACCTCCAGGACCAGGGAGTGCTGGTGGCAGGGGCCACGCCTCTGTGATCTGCCAGCGTGGAGACTGTTTTGTCACATTTTTAGTGCTGACGTGTCCCAAACTTAGGAACAGAAATAAATAGGATGTGTTTTTACCAAGTGGCTGCGTGTCTCTACAAGGTCTATTGTGGCCAAGGACATCTCCGGCGTCACCAGGAAGCCCCACTCCGGCGACCCGAGGGGGCGTGGCCGGGACAGCAGGGCCTCGCTCTGGGGTCCACATCCACGTCACACACCTTCTGGTAAAGGCAGGTGAAGTCCCACTGCTCACTCACCCCTTACCTGCCTGACTGAAGTGGGTTCCACCCTGGGAGCTGAGGCCTTCCCATCCCCACCCCCCTGAGGGAGGCTCAGAGGGGACAGCTGCCTGCAGGACCCTGAGGGAGCGTCCACACCCCACACACACCCACTCACATGCCACGCACCTCAGCAGGTCCTTTCCTCCACTGCCTTTGTCTGCCTCTCCCCCTCCTCCTCTTGCTATGTCTTCCTGACATTTTTTCTGTGTGTGTCTCTCTGTCTCTTTTCTAGTGGTTACCCTCCCAGCCCAGAGCTTGTCCAGGTGGCTTGTGAGCTAACCGCTCCAGCCCTGCCCCAAATGCTGGTGGTGGTGGTGGTGGTAGTGGTGTGTGTGTGTGTTGGGGGATAGGAGGGAGTAAGTCATTTAACAATCAGTTAACAGCCATCAATGCCCAGGCTTTGTAGGGAGGAAATATTTCCCCACCCATTTTATAATAGTAACAAAAGACAGATTAACAGAAAAGCAGTTTTATTTAATATAAAATTTAGGTGGCATGGAGCCCTCGCAGGAAATGAAGGCCCAATGGGATAAGCCCAAGTGTTTCTCTACTAAGCTGAGTAAAGAGGCAGCGGTGGAAAAGTAAGGAAGACAAGTTACTTAACGAGGTCTGTTTGCTCAGATTCTCTGGCCTGACCCCCAGCCCTCCTGGTGCAGGAAGGGTGACTTACATGCAGCTTTATTTCATTTTTTAAATATGTTTTTATTGATTTCAGAGAGAGGGAAGGAGAGGGAGAGAGAGAAACATCAATAAGAGAAATATTGTTCGGCTGTCTCCTGCACATCCCCTATTGGGATGGGAATTGAACCAGCGACCTCCTGGTGCACAGAACGATGTTCAACTGAGCCACACCAGCGGGGCTCACATGAAGCTTTAGCTCCTGCTTTTAGGAAGAAAGGGGGAGGTTAGCACCTGCTATTGTTCAAGTGCCTTTAGCTCCAAATAATCCTGATGCTAATGTGGCATATTTGGCACATCGTACTCTGCCACCCTTCGGAATGACGAGTTGAACACCACATCAGGGAGGCAAGGCAGCACGGCTCCCAGGGCCTCCCATCCAACCTGCAGCAGCGCCTGCCTCCTGGGTCTAGGGTCCGAGATGAGGACACTGCGGGGGAGAGAATGGAGGGTGCAGAGCCTGCATCTCCCAGCTGCTGTCAAGCAGGCCCACAAGGGACTGTCTGCATGTCCTCCCAGCTCACTCAGACCATGGCTCCCTCCCATGGAAGTGGGGAGGCCACGGGCTGCACTCGGTCCTTGGAGAGAAAAAGGAAGGAAAGGGACAAAGCAAAGTGTCGATGCCTCATGGGGCTGGCACAACCGTTGTCAGAGGTGCCTACCCCCATCCTTGGTATTACTCCCTATTCCCAGAAGTGAGGCCAGGGGAGACTCCTGCCCCAGAGGTTCTGTGAAATGTTTGTTAGCCCAAGGCTGACCTTGTTCTGTGCTCCTATAACTGTGGGCGGGGTTAGAGCTGGGGCAGATGTGCTCGGTAAGCCCTGAGACCAGCTTACTGCACTCCTAAGCACAGGCCACCCACCCTTGCAGTGGGCACAGGCCACCTACCCCTGCAGTGGGCACAGGCGGCAGTTTTCTGGGGCCCAGACCTCCCCTGACCTAAGCACTGAGCTCTGCTTTCAACAGCCGAGCTCCACGAAGATATGCCGGCTGCTGCCAGACACCTCGCCCAGAACCAAACAGGCACCCGGCACCAAAATAACCATCAGATGACACAGGGCTGGCCGGCCACTTCCCTCCCAGAGGCAAGCTGCTCCCAGCAGCTGCAGCTAAAAATAGCGGAGGGCATACACATGTCTTCGGGAGAATCACGCGGGGAGAGCCCTGTCCTGCCATTGTCACCGCAGGTGGGCAGGATGAAGTCACTGCGCTTTGCTTCTGCCGAGGCTCTGGCGTCCCACCCCCAGGTGGCCCTGCAGAGCCTGGACAGCGTGGCCCACAACCTCTACCCACTCCTCTTCAAGGCCAGCTACCTGCTGGAGCGGGCGGAGGTGATCCGAGCTCTGCTGCGGCGGTGGCCGCTGGAGGAGTTCCGGCTTGGGGCCCTGCTGGGGCCCAGCACAGACCACGCAGCCGACCTGCGAGACCGGGCCTGCAGGGCCTGCCTGGAGGCCTGCCTGCGGGGCCTGGCGGACCACGTGCTCCGGGGCACGGGCCCGCGGCGGCTGCAGTTGGCTGACCTCACGGGAGTCCGAGACGTGCAGGTGCAGCAGTGCCCCTGCAGGAGGGCGCTGGGCCGGTGGGGCCGCACGGAGCTGCTGGCCAGGACCTGCTGCGAGCTGCAGGCGGACCCCCGCACCGCCCGGCATTCCGTCAAGGTCCTGGCTGACATCTTCGTCACGGATGGAAACTTCCAGTTGGTGGTGCAGGCCCTGGGGCCGGCAGCTTCCACCCCGCCGCTGCGCCTGCGCTGCCTCTCCTTCCGGGCGGACAGCCTGGAGCCCGGCCAGCTCCTGCAGGTGCTGTGCCTGGCAGGGCCCGGCGAGCTGCGCCGGCTGCAGGTGGTGCACAACGTGCGGCTGCACGCGGGCCACGTGCAGCAGCTGCTGGCCCAGCTGCACTTCCCCCAGCTGGTGTCGCTCACCCTGCCTGCCAGGGCCTTCGACCCGCCCCCTGCCTGCGCCCCGGCTCCCGAGGGGGAGGACTCCCTCCTCACCTCCATCGCCTGGCAGCTCAGCCAGATGACCCAGCTCACCGAGCTGAGTGTGGCTTTCTCCACGCTGACCGGGAACGTCCAGAAACTGCTCCGGTGAGTCTGGGGTGGCCACAGGGAGGTGGCACGGCGGGTGCGGTCTCAGCTCACAGCCTCTTACCTGGGCCAGGGTGACTCGGGACCCTCTAAAGCCAAAGATGCACCAAGGAACCCGGTAGATAAGGGGACCTTGGTACTTATAAGAGGCCCAAGGCAGGAGGGGACGGACTAGGCCGCAGTGGTCGGCAAACTCATTAGCCAAATGTCAACAGTACAACGATTGAAATTTCTTTTGAGAGCCAAATTTTTTTTTAAACTTCTTCTAACGCCACTTGTTCAAAATAGACTCGCCCAGGCCATGGTATTTTGTGGAAGAGCCACACTCAAGGGGCCAGAGAGCCACATGTGGCTCGCGAGCCGCAGTTTTTCGACCATGGGACTAGGGAAAGGGAAAGGAAATTTAGCACTGGGAACTCACAGGGGACTGTTTTCAATTAGTAAGGTAAAGAGAAAATGATTGATTAGCAAACCAATAACACAGAGTGACTATATTGGTGTATTACTTGTTATTGTAACCCCAACACTGGGCTAAACAAGCTTGCTTCTGGGTTGCTTCTGGCTGTTGGTGGACTGTGGTCTCCTTGAAGGTGTGGCAGACGGAAAAGTGGGTTATCTGCTTCCAGGTTCACTCCCGTGGCCCCGGGAAGGTGGCCTAGACGCCTCTTCACACAGGCTCAGGCTCTCCACGAGCCTCTGGCTGCTCCCCGAGAGCCAAAGTGCCTTGGGGGTGGAGGAGGGTGTCCTTGTAACCTCCTCACTTTTGCATATTGTGTGGATTAGGAGCCAGTCACCACCGGGCAGGCTGTCAGGCCACCTGCCATGAATATCCTTATAAAAATGTCCAGAAAATTGAGCTTCCCATTCCTTGAGCCAGGGAGTGTGAGGATCCCTTTCCTAGTTGAGGGAGCCCTTTGCTTGCAGGTGTTTCTCTTTTATGCACATTAACCCAGAACTGCCAGCCCAGGTGGCCAGAGGCCACACTCCCTCTCCTCTCCTGCAGGTACCCCGGCTCCACCAGGTCACCCATCCCTGTTCCTGCCCCTCAAATCTGCCAGGCAGGGGAATGAAGGCTCCCTTCCTCCTGTCTTCCACAGGACATCAGTCTCCTACGCAGAAAAGGTGGCCACCAAGCCCACTACAAGTAGAACTCTGACGAGTGACTGGCTCTCTGGGACCTTCAGGACAGTCCTACCTGTGGCTGGCTTGGGTCCTCAGTCCAGATGTGCCTTTGTGCTGGGGGAATGTGTACCCGACACAAGCCTGGCAGGGCTGTCATGTCATGTTAGCTCAGCCCCTGATTTGCCTTCCCACTGCCCGGCACACCCTGACCCTCCACTGGAGGGAGCCCGTGCTCCTTCGCTTACTTCAGTCGGGCTGGATGCTGAGTGCCTAGGGTCCCTCCATGGAAGGTCCAGGTGAGGAGTGTCAGGGAAGGCACACTCCTGAGGTCCCTTTGAGGCTGGGGAACACGTGGGGATGTGGCAGGGCCAGGGGTCAGCAGGGAGGGGTCAGCAGGGAGAGGGCAGTGTGAGGGAGGTGGCAGGAGAAAGGAGGAAAAGAGGGAAGGGCTCCAGCTTTTCCTGAGTGAGCAAAGCCCCGGAAGTTCTGAGCAGGAAGGCGGATGATCTGTGTGTCTCCACAAGGCTCACTCTGACCTCTTTGGTGCACACAATGCACACGGGTGGAGGGTTAAGGAGAAGCACATGGGAGGCGTCAGGTTTGGTGATTCCTAGGAGGATTTAGTGCAGAGTAGTCCTCACAGCTGTGATTAATTAAGGAAAAAGCACAATTGCAAAGGGAGAGGCACATGGAACAGGACTGGGAGGCCTGGCAGGAGCTCCCAGGTCCTCGCCCAGTGGAGTCCCCGGAGTCGCTTTATCCCTCAGCACCGGGTAGGTGCCCTCTACCAGGGAGCTAGTTAGACGCCCAGGCCCAGGGTGTGTTGTGGGAGCTTGTCGGCGGGCTCTCCCGCCGGGCGCACACCCAGACTCCAGGTCCCAGAAGGAAGCAGGACCTTGGTATGAACCAGATTCTTTGGGTAAATAATCCAGGGCCAGGGGCCACCCAGCCCCCAGTCCCATCCCCAGACACAGCCCTCCCAAGGTCAACAGTCAGGCCCGTACTGATGGCCCTTTTGTACGCAGCAGGCCCTGTCAATCTAGCTAGGAGAAGACTAGGCTAGGACAGTGGTCAGCAAACTGCAGCTCTTGAGCTGCGGCTTGCTGCTCTGTTGACTGAGTTTGCCGACCACTGGGCTAGGACCTTCTGTGGGCAGGGCAGGTGGTGAGCGGAGCTCAGGCCTGGACTTGATGTGAGGGAGGATTGACAGGATTTCCTCGTGGGTGGGTGTGGCATGAGAGAAATGGAAAGAGAAGCATTCACCCATGGAGCCCAGCAAGGATACAGAGAGCACGCTGTGAGGTAGACAGCAGGTGCTCAGCTGTGTAGGCCCATGGGCAGACACCAGGCACTGAGCGCACACATAGTACAGGTGCAGGAGGTGGGAGGGGATGGGAAGGACAGAGAACTGGACCCCGTGCAGCCTCCTGTGTTCAGCGCTCAGGTCCTGAGTCCCGGGGATGGTTGGACCGAGAATACGCATCTCTCACAGGACCCCCTTGTCCATGCTCTTTCTGACTTTGAGGACCGCAGCCCAGAGCAGGGTCACCCCCCGGCTCCGTGTTTATTGATGTGGGGCCACCTACATCAGAAAGGGAGAGCCTGGACAAGATGGCTCCCAGGCCCTAAAACTGTGTGGCTCCCACTCTTGAGTGAAACCTGGGCATCTCATTTCCTGCTAGTTCACACGCATCTCCCTGCCCCAACCAGTTTGTGAGAGACCTCTGGGGTCACGTCCCCACCGAGAGTGGTGACACAACAGATTCATCCTTGTAGGAGCTGTGGACACGAGGCCAGATCTGTCTTTGGTGGAGTGAACTCTTCACTACATGCAGCCACACCACCGTCTCAAGGATGCAGCCTGACTTTCTGCCCCCCAAAACAGCCACAGACAGTAGACGAATGAGCGAGGCTGCATCCCGATCACAGTTTGTTCATGGCCGCTGAAATTTCCTGTCGTTCTCTCATGTCACAAACGATCTTTTTGGTTTGTTCAGCTCTCAGAGCCATTCTCGCGCTCAGGCTGAACGAAAGCAGGTAGCGGGTGGATTTGGCCCTGCGGTCATGGCTGCTACCCCCCGAGACAGAGTCACCTAGTCGCCCGCAGAGCTCCTTCCCGGGGAGCCGCTCACCTCTGCCGTTTTCCACCCACCTGCAGCCCCCTCAGGACCCCGCTGAGAGCCCTGGACCTGGCCAACTGCTCCCTGAACCACGCGGACATGGCCTTCTTGGCGGACTGCGCCCATGCCGCCCACCTGGAGGTGCTGGATCTCAGCGGGCACAGCCTGGTCCACCTCTTCCCTTCGAGCTTCTTCCGGCTGCTGGGCCGGGCCTCGCAGACACTGAGGGTGCTCACCCTGGAGGAGTGCGGCATCGAGGACCGCCACCTGAGCACCCTGATCCTGGCCCTGGGCCCCTGCCAGCAGCTGCAGGAGCTCCGCTTCCTGGGCAACCCGCTGTCGGCCTCCGCCCTCCGGCGCCTCTTCCTAGCCCTCTGTGAGCTCCCCAAGCTGTGGTGGGTGGAGTTCCCGGTGCCCAAGGACTGCTACCCGGAGGGGGCTGCCTACCCCCAGGACGAGCTGGCCATGTCCAAGTTCGACCAGCAGAAATACGACCTCATCGCCGAGGACCTGCGAGGGGTGCTGTTGCGGGCCGGCCGGGACGACATCCAGGTCTCCACGCCGGTCTTCGGAAGCTTCGACCCAGATATCCAAGAAACAAGCAACGAACTCGGGGTTTTCTTGCTGCAAGCTTTCAGAACGGCCCTGGAAAACTTTTCCCTGGCTCTGAAACAAATGGAGTAGGTGGGCCCTGCAGCAGGCACAGCGGGTCTCGCCTTCCAGCCGATGGATCCGTGACCACCCCGGGGTCGGCAGTTTGGGCCCAGTGTTTGTGCCCTCCCTAAGGCATCATCCAAAGCATTTCTTAGTCCTGGCATCTGTTAGGCGCTATAGGAGACGAAGCCCTGCCTTCCCGTAGATGTGACACGAGGTCATTTTAGGCTCAAAGCACAGCGGGCATGCAGGAGGGGGACATGGCCCGGGGCAAGCACAAAGAAGTGCCAGGGACTGAGAGTGGCTGTCCTGGTCACGGTGCGCCCCGGGCTGCGTGCGAGGTGCAGGCTAGTCTGGTAGTGGTAGCGAGGAGGTGGGAGAGAGGACATCAGCTGGCATGAGAGGGAAGAAATGAGAGAATAGTCACCACCAACTGGGAAAAGAGAGTGAAGAGCATGGGAGCCCATGCTGCCCCACCCCCTGGCTTGTCCACAGTGCTGATGCTTACAAGGTGCCGTCTGTCTGAATATTTACAGCAGCCAATCTAGCGTGGACCGTGGGCTTTGGTTATCAATGGCTTTAATCTAATTTGAGGCGGTGAACAGGGCCAAGGCTGCTGGCTGAGCCTGAGAGCACAGGGGAAGGAACCCGAGGGCCTGCAGGGAAACCACAGAGCCTGCAGTGCCCACACCCTGCTGCCCTAAGCCTCGCAAGCCCTGAGGAGGACGCTCTGCTCTGGTCTAAGGGAGCTGGCCTGGCGTCAAGAGGAGGACGCAGGTGGGCTTGGTTTTCCACAAGCTCTGATTTGTGCAACGGTGATTATTAGGATGATTAAATACAAATAAAACAGAAGTGTGTCTTATTCAGATATGATTTTAATTTCATTGCGACTTAACTTAATTTTAATTTCAATGTGATTTTAAGTTCAGAATTTTTAAAGGAACCTATGAAATAAAATAATTTTTTTTCTCAAGATAGAAGCTAGTACCTGATCTGGCCAAACCCTCCTCAACCATCCCAGTGCTCCATGAAGGTTTGCATCACTGAGTGAACAGGTGCTGCTCCTCCCCTAGTGTGCCCCTTCCCAGGTGCTCCCACCCTTCCCCAGGTGTGTCCCTACCGGGTACCCCTGCCTCTTTCTCCAGGTGTCTCCATGCCTTTCTCCCATGATGGAGTGGGGCCTCTGAGGTTGGATCTCCAGAGTGAGAGCCATCTCAGGGGTCAGAAGGGGAGGGAAGGGTGACCTCCCGTCAGATCTGCTCGCTGCTTACCAGCTGCATGTCACAGCTCTGTCATGCTGGTAGTCTCTGGGGTCCTATTTCAGGCACATGGAGTTTGCTATTGTAAAACGCTCTCAGGAAATTTTTTTAATGATTTGATTCTGCGAAGAGCAGAGTAGGTTCCACTGTTTGGGTCTGTGGAATTCTCTTGATGACAGACTTGGCCTCTGAGTGCCAGCCAGGTGGGACCCTAGCAATGAGTGGCTGAGCCCGGCAGCTGTGGTACAGAAGGGTCCAGGGTTGCTGAGGTGACCTGGGACCTGGGATTTGGGGCAGGGCAGGCACACAGGGGTCTGCTAGTGGCAAATGTGCCCTGGGGCCCTAGGGAACAATACATTCTGATGAAGCCCTCTTAAGAGGCTGAGAGGCTCAGGAGAGCCACCATGAAGCCAAAGGAGCAGCCTGAGTGGGACCGTGCCTCTGCCCAGTCCCAGGGCAGCAAGGAATGTGTTCCTGTGGACCTGCTCAGCCCCGACCACTTCCAGCCACGAAGGATTTTCATTGCACCTGCTCAGCCGGCAATTTGTGGCCCTGACAACACCTGATGTGGCAGCAGCTGTGCTAGGTTTCTGTCAGGGTCCAGGAGCAGAGGATGTGGCCCCCACACAAAAGCAAACTGAGCATAAGAAAAAGCACCCAGAGATGTCTAATCACTGCGCTGTACCACGGGCCAGACAGATAAATTGAATGGAGACTTGATGGGAACACCATGTTGGACACCATGGGGACCACTGTGATGGACACAGAGACACTATCATCCTGCACTGTGGGGACCACCATGATGGATATCACAGGACCACTCTGACGGACCTGGTGAGACTATCATCCTGTATATTGTGGGGACCACTGTGATGGATACCATGGGAACCACTCTGATAGATACTGAAGGACCACTGTGGTGAACACTGGAGGGGCCACTGTGATGGACACTAGGGGTTAATCTACCTGGACCTGTGGGTACCCCATCTGCCCATGCTGCCCCTTCATTCTTTTTTTTTTAAAATATATTTTATTGATTTTATACAGAGAGGAAGGGAGAGAGAGAGAGAGAGAGAGAGAGCTAGAAACATCGATCAGCTGCCTCTTGCACACCCCCTACTGGGGATATGCCCGCAACCAAGGTACATGCCCTTGACCGGAATCGAACCCGGGACCCTTCAGTCCCCAAGCCGACGCTCTATCCATTGAGCCAAACCGGTTTCGGCGCCCCTTCATTCTTTGTAGCAGGTTAAGCATTGTTTTTCCCTGTGAAGTTCAACACTACTTCCTGTTTCCCATCCTGGCAGAGAGGGCACAGATTCAGGAGCTTTCACTTGGTCCATCCTAATGACTCTTGTTCCAAACCGTCCTATTTACATGTTCAGACAGCTCTTGGGCTCTTCTTTTTCTCCATTTTAAACCATTTCAGTTCAGTAGTGTTCCACCATAATCTCACTTTATCCAGACACCATTTGGGACATCTGTGAAGCCATCAGATGCCACCACATTGTGTGAACATTTCAAACCTAATATCAATTTTAAAAAGATAGATGGCTTCAAATTTACACTCAAATAAGTCTGCTGATGGAAGGCAGTGGTGCCATGCAAATACAATGTGGCCGAATTAATTTTCTGTAGAAAACTCGTCTTCCTAATCTTACAATCTAAGATGATTTGAATTATCTGAACATACTTATCTAGTTGTTGAAGGGGGTGAGGCTGAGAGCATGTTGGAAATTAGAAAACACTATGAAGATTAACAATTCTTGAAAATCACTCACCTACTAAATGCCTGAGTGTATTTTCCTTTATTTAATGTAAAAACCAAGAGAAAAGCGTTAAGTAGCTTATCCAAGGATATGTGACAAATCAATGGAGTAACAGGAACTAGAATATACACCAGATTTCACTGAAGACATCACTTGTCAGATCAGTGATGGCAATACAGCAGAAAGACATTCTGAGCCTTTAAAGAAGTGTCAGACCACAGTGACCAGAACCCAGGAGCTCCGGGCAGAGCCAGGGCAGAGGACCAGCACCCATGTCTTTAAATATATTTTTTATTGTTGATGATATTACAGATATCTTCCATTCCCAACCCCACCCCCACCAGTACCCATTTTAGGGAACTTACTGAGGCAGCTTCCTCATCTCTAAAATGGTTCTGAAAATTTAAACATATCAGCATAAAATACTTACGGTTCAGTGTGCAGCATGTACCCAGCGAAGAGTAGCTCCAATGATTATACCCTACAATTTAACAGAAGTTCCCTATAAGCTGAACTTTTTAATGTACTGAAGTTTTTAATGTACATCTTATTGCCACATAGACAAGCAGGCAGGCAGGGTGGAGACAGGATTTGAAACCAGATGGACCTCAACCCAGGCACTGCAAGGCCACTTTCATAATTGCACAGAAGTTTCCAGCAGCTCTGGAGCAAGCTGCCTGGATTCATACTGGCTACAATATACCACCAGGATGACCTTGGGCAGGCTAACTTTTCCTGACCTCCATGCCACTTCCCTCCCCTGTAAAATGAGGATGTGCAGAAGAGTTCACACAGCAGGCCCGAGGCTGTGGTCCTCTGGAAGGTCTGCTTACAAGGTTGGCTCTTGGCTGGCATCCGGGGTCCTATGTTTTGGAAGAGTTCCCACCACTAACTAGTAAGTGCCTACACTCTGTACAATTTGGACTGAACACTTCCTTCTGGGAGTGTGGAATTTGTTGGGGATGTGCCATGCCAGGCAGAGGGTGCCTATGTGACCAACCCTCAACAGAATCCCTAGGTGCTGTCTCTAAGGAGTGTCCCTGGTTCGAAACAACTCACATGATCGCCTCACTTTGCCTGTGTGCCTTTCCCTTTGTGTCCTTTGTACGCAGTCTTAGCTATGAGCATAGCTCTGTGCTGAGTCATCAAACCTACGGGTGGTCTCAGGGGAGTAGTAATATTACTGCACAGGATTGGGGATAGGATTACTTGAGTGATGTGTGAAGCATAGTAAAGGATAATTCATAAAGTAAAGATGCTTTGTGAAAAACAAGGCCATGAATGCCTGCCTACCTATTTGTGGCAAAAATTGAGATGATTTATGTAAAAACATTTAGTAAAGAGTAAAAAAATTACACAAGAAGTGGTAGGTATTTTTTAAATTGAAGGTATCTTTTATTATATGTCACCACTAATCAACAATATCTATTGAATACAGACACAAGCCAAATTTCAAACATACATTAGAGTATCAAGTGGATATAAGAAATCACCTTTTCCCTTTGGTGGGAGATCTTTAAAATAATATAAAACCTTGATAATATTAGTATTTTTCTATCATCATCTGTTAGGCAGTTCTAATCTACTACCCGACAACTTCTAAATGTAACTTTAGAAGAAACATAATTCGAGGGAAAAACAGGATTTATTTAGGGAGTGATAAAAGCAGACAGGAAATTTCTTACAGTGGGGATCATTACGGTATTTCGGTTTCCTAAAAACAACTTTACCCTAAAGCTAAGATTTGAGGTTATACTCTCTGCGAATAAAATGCTGATAGCTGAAAAAAATGCTTCTGAGAAACCGCTTCCATAATAACTGTGGGGATGGGGAGGGAACGCTGTGTCTACTGAGGGCTGTTGTACCGCTCAGAGGTGCAGGCTGGAAGACCACTCAGTGCTTGTGGCCACACACAGGCAGTACTGGAAGAAGGGGAAAAAGAAAACATCGGATAACGCAGAATGTCACAATGACAGTCTGACCTGAGTAATTAAAAGGTTTTACTTCATTCTTGTCTTACTCTTCTAGTATGGTTTTCTCTAATTTCTTAAACTTTTTCAGTTCGACAATTAGTTCCCAGTATTTGAGATATAGCCACATGAGTCTTCCATTTTGGCGTTTGTTGGTGTTCCAGACATCACCACAATAGGTATCGTGCTTAAATATGTCGGTCAAGCCGGCTGCCATTTCTAGGTCAGCAGCAACTGGGTCAGTAGATGCTCGGACCAGTAAGTTCTTCTCTATTTCCAGCCGCTTGCTGCGAGGGAGGACCAGGCTGCAGTAGATATTCTGTCTTTCTGAAAGAGCGACTTCAAACTCTTTCAGCAGCATCTGGGCCCTCCTCTGCCAGGCTTCTTCCTTTTCCAGGCAGCTCAGATACACACTTCTCAAGGGCTGCAACTGTCGCTTTTCTTTCATAACCTGAGCCCGTTCCTGTTCCAAAAGCTTCTTTTCTTCCACCAATTTGCGTCCCTGAACGATAAGGGCTTCTCGATAACTAGTCGTTCTGTTTTGTTCCTTTTCGAGTTCCAAAGATAACTGAGCCACGGCGCGGCGGTTCTCTGAGATCATGGCGTGGTACTTGGCTTCAAGATCCCGCTGGAAGGCAGCCGTCCTCTGACGGTATGCTTCTCGCTCCTTTTCTATTTCTTTTTGGGACTCCCTAGACCAAATCCAACCTGGTATGGATAAATTGAGGGAGACAAACACACGTAATGAAAACCCAGAGCTGAAGCTCTGTAATCTTTAAAGAAAACATAAAGCAGCTAAGACATGATTTCAATAAACTCTTACGTCCTGAGAGTTACAAAAAAAATACCACTTTGTATCAAACTATATAATAAGCAAAGTTCTTAAATCAGATCAGGGCTCCCAAAAGATGAGTATGACAGGCTGAAAGTAGGGAGTCCCCCTTTCAGTCTCCTAATTTCCCACGGCTAAAAAAACCCCACTGCTTGCTTTTGCTCTCTACTCTAGCCAGTGCCCCCATGTACTATTGGCAAGGTTTAAAAATTAATATAGGTTCTTTGTTGAAAAAAATAAATATGGGCATACTTCAAATATTGTTGGTCAAGTTAAAGTACATTTCAAAATGTGTTCAGCTTTGCCTGGTCATCACTAGTAAGTAGCTAAAGCCCCGGACGTTTGATTGTTATGATAGGGGTACATAAAAGGAAGGTGGACTGAGAAGTTCAATGTCAAGACATGATGACCATGGCTATTGTCCGGGTGGTGAGCCTGACTTCCATGTCAACCTGAAAATAAGGAGGCAGCACCACCCTTCTACCAGAGCACTGCCAAGAAGCCAGGCAAAAAGGTGTGAGTAAAAACCATTCTCATAACATAGGTAATACCCAAGATGCTCAGGTTTCCATAGAAAATCACTCTTCATAACCAAGAATCAGGAGGATCTCAAATTGACTTAGAAAAAGATAATCAGTAGCCCCAGCCCATTTGGCTCAGTGGATAGAGTGTTGGCCATAGATTGAAGGGTCCTGGGTTTGATTCCGGTCAAGGGCCCGGTACCGGGTTGCAGGCTAGATCCCCCAGGGCAAGGGCAGGAGGCAACCAATTGATTTGAGTTAATCCACTTTTTTTTTTTTTTTTTTTGTAAAATGTAAAACTAAAACTTTAGAAAATATATAGGAGAGAGAATCTTTAAGACCTAAGGCTAAGCAAAGAGTTCTCAGACTTGGAATGAAAAGTATGAGCCATAAAAGGGAAAGTTGATTAATTGGACTTCATTAAAATTAAAAACTTTTGCTCTATGAAATACTCCATTAAGAGACTGAGAAGACAAGCTACATACTGGAAGATGTCTGCAAACCAGATATCCAACAAAGTACTAGAATCTAGAATATAATAAAAATTCAAAAGTCAGTATTAAAAAAATATCCAATTAGGAAATGGCTGAAAGACAGGAACAGACCTTTCATAGAAGAGGATACACTGATAGCAAGTTAGCATTGAAAAGATGCTCCACATCACTAGCCATTAGTGAAATGCAAATTAAAATCCCAGTGAACTACCACCACACACCTACAAGAATGGGGTAAGCAAAAACAAGTGGCCACACCAAATGCTAGCGAGGATGCCAAGGAACTGGATCACTCACACACTGCTGGTGAGAACGTAAAATGGTACAGCCACTCTGGAAAACATTTTGGCACTTTCTTAAAAAGCTAAACATTGACTGACTTTCACGGAAGCTGACAAAATTTGGTGGTTTTTATGACTCAGCGATCTGCATGATGCCTGATTTTCCTTGAGACTAAATACAGCCCTGAGGCGTTGCCGTTTAGAAGTTCACTAGCCTGCCATCTTGCAAAACACTACTTAACACTTGGAAAGACTACCAGTTGCCTGTGGCTAGAGTGATGAACTTGGTGAGTGAATTGAAAGGTTTAAAGTTACAATTACTAATGTAATAATTAGTTTTGAAACTGGAAGAAGCCCTGACGGGACTTTCATTTTCCTTTTTTTTTTTTTTTTTTTTTTTCAAACTCACCTCTAGCTTTTATAGCTTTTCAGAAAAACCTTTACTTTTGAAGTTCTTGCTCTGGGACTTTTGAAATGATGCTTTCTGTCCTTGAAAGGATTGAGGAATACTTTATTTTTTCTTCTTGGTTGTCTTGCTTAGGTAATGTGATCAGAGAATTCTTTTAACTGCATTCTTATAAGGATTCTCCAAAATATAATTATGTGGTTGAGAAATTATATTGCAATATAAGGGTGTTAACTAGACCCCTAGAATAGTCTAAAGGTAATGGAGTTGATAAATTCTACTCTTGTCAACCTCCACTTCCTCTATGCCAGCTGGTGAACCTGAGAAATCCAGGCTTGTAATAAAGCCTCTCCATAAAAAGCATCACAATAGAGAGAAGCTTTTGCTTTTCTATGATGCGATATTAATTCCTCATATTCTTAATGCCAATGCAGAACCGTGGAATATGACAAAATATAAAACCAACTTCTAGCCGAAACCGGTTTGGCTCAGTGGATAGAGCGTCGGCTTACGGACTGAAAGGTCCCGGGTTCGATTCTGGTCAAGGGCATGTACCTTGGTTGCGGGCACATCCCCAGTAGGGGGTGTGCAAGAGGCAGCTGATCGATGATTCTCTCTCATCAATGTTTCTAATTCTCTATCCCTCTCTCTTCCTCTCTATAAAAAAATCAATAAAATATAAAAAATAAAAAATAAAAAAATAAAACCAACTTCTAAATAGCAGTGTATCATGTAGTGATAATTACAATTGATTGGTGACTGGTAATTTCCCCAAAATGGTGCAAAGCTACTTCAAACCAGAGAGAACTTCTGGCCAGGCTCAGCCTATTCCACAGATGAAGTCTGCCAAAGACTGACTTCTAAACATTAAGCAGACATCCACAACTGGTGTGTGGTCTTTTTTTGTTTGTTTGTTTTTTTGTGGGGTTTTTTTTGCCCATTTTATTCTTCCCTGCCCTCCAGTCTTTATGAGGGCACCTGTAGCAAGGGAACCCTCTCAGAGCAATAAAGCCTTTGAAAGGAAGACAACAGTTATTAATACCCACTTCACACAAAATGCTCTTAAATATCTTGTCGTTTTTAACCCTCATAACACATCAAGTAATTCGGATTTGCTTTCTCCCATGGAGACAGGGAAACTGAGGCTCAGAGAGTAATTTCCCCAAGACACACCATTTGTGATAAAACTTGGTACACACTTGCATTTGTCAAGTCTCAAAGCCCAAGGTCTTTGGACTCCACACCATCAGCCCAGAAAATCCAACTCAGGAAAATTGTGACTTACGAAAAGCAGCCAATCCCAACATGGGAACCAACAGGGCATAATTCCATTTGCTTCCATCACCCCCATCATCTCTGTAATTGGGCCGGATATTCCAATTTGGGGGGTCATTTAAGTTATTCATGAAGATATACCTGAATAAATAAAACCATTAGCCATACAAAAGGAATAAAACACATCTGTCATAATTTTATCATCTACTTGGTTCATAGGAATCCTTTTTTTCCTTCCAGAAAATTTTATTCAGACTATGAATGTGTTGCACATCACTTGAATCTTATAGGATCAAAAGAAGCAAGACCTCAGATAAAAGCAGCTCACAGTATTGTAGGGACAGAGACATGTTTCAATAACTCAAATAACGAGTAGAAGGAGGAAAGTTCCTTAGTTATAAGTTTTTACAATTATGGTGGTACATTAAGACATATTACTAGGAAGGTGTCAAAAACACTGGCTGCTTTAGGGAAGGTGACAGGCATTGAGGGCTGAAGCCCTGTGTGGGGAGGCCTCATTGGTCCTGAACTCCAGCTTACAGGTACCCTTCTGCCTGAAGCTGGTTTATCTGCATCACCAAACTGGGGCCTCCTATTAATATGCATTTGGCAGGTTGAGCATTTTCACAAAATATAGTCATGAGGGCTTTCGGCCTGTTTCTTTGTTGACTAATGTGACAAATCATAGACTGATGACAAAAGAAATAGTCAAAGGATAGTTAAGAAAAAAGAAATTCAACCCGATTTTGAAAAATCTTAGTGGGTTTTTCAATAAATATTTACCATCTAAAAACCTAAATTCTACCTGGCAATAAAGAAGTCCAAAAAACATGGCTCAGGACTTCAAGTTAAGTTTATGGTAACCATGGAATAAAAAAGTTATCTGAAAGTTCTGAACTACATGACTTTCAAAGGACGTGGGAAATGCAGTGTTAATTCCTTCGGGGCCTGTGGCCTGAGGAAACATGTAATTCTAATAAAAGCAACGTAGTCCTACATATAGACACACGTTAGGCACAAATATATTCTTTATGGCCTTATTTACTAGTAGCAAAAATTTGGAAACAGCCTAAATATCAATACAATTGGAACGGTCCCTTGTAAACTAACTCAAAATAATTCAAAATTATGTTGCACACAACTGCGCCCCAAAAAAGATCTTAATAGTAATCGAAAATGATGTGAAAAGCGGGATGATGATCACACTACTTCTGAGTATGCAATTATTATTCCCCCGCCACTTCCTTCCACAAAAAGCCTGACATAACACAACGAAAAACAGAAACACGCTCTGGACCGCTGGTGACATCCATCAGGCGAGTGCGTGAAGGCACCTAAGCCCGGAGCCCTACCGGACCCCGGCCGGGTCTTCAACCCGCTCCACCACGGGCGCTTCCACAGGAGAGACTCGGCCCGTCCCGCCCGTCCCCTCTCTCCCCTCCCACCCCAACACAGCCCAGACTCCAGCTCCCCGAGCACGCCGAACCCCTGACCTACCCCCTGGCCGGGAGCGCCGAAAGCCGAACCTCAGTACAGCAGGGTCCGCGAGCCCTCTCTGCGCAGGCGCGGTGCCCCTACACCCGCCCCCTCCCCGGATCCCCGCGAGGTGCTTGCGCAGGCGCAGTTTCTCTTCCAGCCTGGACCCCGGGAGCAGCGTGGTGCGCAGGCGCAGTGTCCTCCCGCCGCGACCCCGGGCGCAGCGACGTGCGCAGGCGCGGCTGGCCGCAAGGACTGGGGAGGCCGTGCAGCGGAATCTGGCCATGTCGGGGCTTCGGGCTGCGTCGAGGCTGCTGCGCACCAAACGCCTGGCGCTCACCGGGACGGTGAGTCAGGACCGCGGGCTGGGCCCGGTCCGTCTGGGCTGGGGCGGGCGGGGCCGGGGCCGGGGTCTGGGCTGATGGTCTCTGCAGGCTGGGGTGGAGCGGACGCAGGAACCCCGCGCCCCCGGCTCTGATGTGGACGGGCTGGGGACGGCCTGCCGACCGGAGCGGGTAGGACCCATGGGGCCGCTCGAGAGGGTCGGGCGCTCTCAGAGGGGCACCTGGGCTTTTTCTGTAGCCGGCCCGGCCGCGTCCCCGTGAAGGTCAAACGATCCCGCGAGCCTTCTCGGGATCCCCTTCTGTCCGGGGTGTGGGTGCCTCTTGGCTCTTGGGCCAAGGTCTCCTGGCCTCCGCACCCCAAACCCGCACTTGTAGGAGAGGAGGAGGTGGGTCTGCCCAAGGTCACGCCGGCAGGTAGCGGCCTGTGGGTGCCCCAGGCCTCGGAATCCCCAAAGGCCAGAGAACCGGGGTGGAGGCGGAACCTTGCATTTGGCCGAAGGCGCCGGCAGGGCGGGGCCCTCTGCCTACAGTCTGGTCGGATCCCCGCAGCCCCTCGGTGGGGCGACGTTGCCGCCGCGGCCCCGGGGGACCGGTGGCCTGTGGGGTTCGAGCCGGGCTCCCGGCCGGCTCCGTCTGGGCCGCCCGAGGCGGGTGAGGTGGAACGCGTGTCTCAACAGCCGCACCTCTGCTTGCCTTGCAACTGTTTACAAAGCCGGGGCCCCTTTCGAGAAAGCGCAGATGGTGTGTCCGCACCGAGGCCCTTCGTTTTGGGTTTTGTATCGTGGCCTTTGTGCACACGTTTGAAAATTGGATGAAGAATGTCGACACACTGACTGCAAAACCACGTTGGGAGAGGACGCCGGGACGTCCGTTTTCCTGCGATTTCTGCCGAGGCCCAGGCTCAGCCTGTCGGGTCAATAGGGTCACCTGCAGAGGAATCCTCTGCTCTCCGTGCTGGTGTGTCAGATGTGCGCTTTGCAAGTACATCTTCAGAGTCGATCTTTCATGGATTCTGTAGGCACACTAAATGTAGAGGATTTAGTTGTTTCGTTCTTTTAAATTAATTTGTTCACCCACCTACTTAGTAATGTAATTACAGCGTAGGAACCCAACAGTGTCGACACGACTTATGCCTGTAATTACACCTGTAGTTGTCTTCTTGAAAGGTATATACTAAAAATTACGTTAACTATGAGAGGATTTAGCCAGCCATCCATCCCATCCTGCCAACACCAGAAACTACTTTTTATTTTATTTTAGAGAGAGTGAAGGGAAGGGAGGAGGGGGCGAGAGAGAAACATTCTCACCCCCACCCCCCACATCCTCCCAGATGGGCTGGTCCAGGTAAGTGCCCTTTACTGAGAATTGAACCCTGCCACCCTTTGGTCCCAGGGCCTACTCTCTAACCACTGAGCAACAGGCCAGGGTCAAAAATACTTTAAATACTTTGCAATGTGCTTACTGATCAGAGCCCCCCCTCCATTTTGGGCTCTAAGACACAGGTAGGGAGTTCAAGTGAAGTTCATAGTCTGGAGTATTTTTAGTAAGCCAAACATGAGCAGCCTTGTAAGTTCTTGTTAGTGAAATGGCAGATTGGTAACTGGTGGTGATTGAAAAAGGGCTAATGTGTCTGTCCTTAACCCTTGCATTCCTTGTGCAGACTAAGTCCCTCCAGCCTGTGGAATTTCCTTCACCCATCACCTATCCTTTGTTAGTTTATGAAAACAAAAGTTGTTCTTTATCCAGGCTGGGCTAGAATTCTGGTTCCAGCTTATAGCTGAAAGTAGATGAGGTTCTTTTTAAAATATATATATATATTATTGATTTTTTACAGAGAGGAAGGGAGAGGGACAGAGAGCTAGAAATATCGATGAGAGAGAAACATCAATCAGTTGCCTTCTGCACTCCCCCCTCTGTGCCTGCAACCAAGGTGCATGCCCTTGACTGGAATCGAACCCAGGACCATTCAATCCGCAGGCTGATGTTCTATCCACTGAGCCAAACCAGTCAGGGCTGGATGAGATTCTAAGCACAAGAGGTCAGAGTGTGTTAACCTTCAATATTGACTTGATTGGAAGTGATGTCCATTGAAGTCAGCTGTTAGCTGCCAGCACTTTACTTACTTTCATTCTCTCCTTGAATTTTCACCACTCTCTATGTTCAATTGTACTATCTCTATGTTGCCATCTTGTTTACAACTACCTAAACTCTCCTGTGTTTAGGTAGTTGTAAACATGATGGCAACATGGAAGTAGTACAATTGAACAAGGTAGTCCTACAAAAGACTTCTTGATGAAGATAGGTTTTCCCTATGGAAATTAATTCTTCCCTCAAGCAATATATTTATTGGAGATTAAGGTTGGCAAGAACAAAAGCCTCAATTTGACTGAACAAAAGAAAGAGAAATTTATTATGCCAACTGAGACATGTCCATGGGAAGGAGATGATGAGGATAATTTGAATCAAGTCCACAGAGAAGTTTTCTTTATTTCATTTTGTACAGTTCTGTGGTGTTTCCAAATCATTTAATATTTACAGATGCTTTCAAGTTACAAAATTATCAAATCTGTTTTGCCTTTATTTCCTTTCCAGTTGTCCTAATGGACCGACACAATTAGAACTGCCCAGACTTTGAGACCCTTGTCCTATCTAAGTTAACTTATTTTCTTTGCATTTATATGTTTTAATGATTTTGTTTTTTTCTTGCTGTAATAAGAGTGCCAGTCCCTTAGAGTAAAAATAGTGTTTTGTATTGTGTGTGATGTTTTTCCTGATTCACTTGAATAATTATGGTTTGGATTTTACATATAACGTGGATATTCATCTTACTTTGGAGTCCCAGAGATTTTTTCCCCCCCAAGGATCCTTAAATAGTAGGGAAAGTACAGGATCTGGAGCTAGCTGGGCAGACCCAAGTCCAAAGCTCAGGTACCCTGGATAGATTCAGTTTCTCTGTGGGGTAATGAGGACTCTGATGTAATATGTGAAATCTGTGTGTGTGTTCATCTGAGCCCACAGCTTGCAGCCTGTGCTCAGTAACCTTGTGAACTATATTATAACCTTGTCAGCTGTATTAAGCACACTTATTTTAAATTTTTAAAAAAATTTTAATGGAAATAATTACACATAGTTGTCAAAAAAAGAAAGGTCAATGAGTGCAGAAGGCCTTACAAATAAAAAGGAATAAGATACCCCTCCCCCCCTTTTCCACAGACCTGGTCCCCAGTGGAATCAATTCTGAGTTGTTTCTGGTATTGATTCTTGGTATTTACCTCCTTTTCTCTAGCAAATATGCAGGTGCATTTTTATCC